CTACGGCCCCTCGCTTAGCATTACCGTTGGTAAGTCTACCGATTCAGTCGTTCCGCTTGGCTGATCCTCGCTATCTCTTTGCTACAGAAATTTGACTCTCTTCCCATGCCTAGCTTCTTTGAAACGAGAGGGCGAAGACCCCAAGTATGTATATTGTCCCTGTCGAAAATATGGTTTGCCTAACGCCTCATATATGTCAGTGCCAACCAGAATTCGTTGCCCATCGACCTTCTTCAAAGACGAATTTCCTGCAAGCCTAAAATGCGGACTCACAGGTCCAAGGCACGCTATATGGACCCCATCAACGCACAAAGGACCTTCAACAGCAAGATCGGATTTGAATAGCCTTGACTCGCTTTTGATCGTATCTCATATTTACAATAGATCGACAAAAAAAGTGAGCATGGAGATACGCATCAAGCTGGTAAGTCGTCATGAGATTCCTGCAGTGCAGAGTCCAGATACATGCGAACTGTTTACGAACTAAGTTTACACTTGGGCATAGGCTAGAGTCTCTATAAATATCTCCGCAATCCTCGGGCTCCCGTCCAACAATCGCCCTGCTAACCGTACTGTAATCCGGTCGGTCCTCCACATGACGCGTCGTGATAAGTCTTTTCTTCCAACTACCTGGTTCTTCCATTGTACTGACGCATATAACAAATATTAGGGCCACTCGAAGTAGAGCGTACGACACCCAATGCACTGAAAGGGGTTAATGCCCAATAACTGTCTTTTCAGGTAACTTCATCCTCCTTGTGCGAACGAGGATCCCTACCCACTCTATTTGGACCACGCTGGTCTTTAATGGTCTTTTTTAAAGGCCTTGATACAAAATGGAGGCTTCACAAGGTAAGACTCTCCCACTCGCTGCTATATGGCATTAGGTTGATAACGTGGGTCCCGGGGGGTTTTATATACAACATCCAGCCCCCAAACCATATTAGCAATCACTAGTTAATTCCGTGGAGGCTAGGAATTGATTCCGACGCAAGGTTTCGCATCACAACACTTTCAACAACGATCAATGCAACCGGACTAACGCAGGGGTTGAAGGAATGTCAGAATCCAGGCGCAAGAAATGGGGCAGGGCTAAGCCCAACAGTGATCCCGACCATTGCGGGTATCGTGTTGATCGCCGGGCAAAATTAAGGCGGTAAGTTACCGGCGCGACGCGTCGCGTCACAACGGGACACACATACGCTTGCTCCCTCCTTGCCCACTGCTACCACTAGTGACGTCGCCACCTCCGTTGACCCGACTTTTTCTACACTCCGCCTAACCTTTGAACCAGGATATCTATTTTCATGCCAAATTATCCATGAAGAATGTCTGCTCCTCGCTCCACACCCATTCGACCTCGTCCGTCATCTACCAAAGCTTGGGTCGTTGATGAATCAGAAGAAGGCGTATCAAAATACGTCTCAACACGAAGGGTCTCAACTGCCTGCAAAGAATGTCAGCGTCGGCGAACAAAGGCAAGGGAATCTTAAAAAATCGTATCACTTCGCCGCTTACTTTTGATCTCTCCAATAGTGCAGTTCCGGAAATCCGTGCTTGGAATGCACCAAACAAAACTCTGTTTGCATAGTGGACGAAGGCTCCGACAAACGACGCAAAAGCTACTTAAATAAGATGGAAGAAGAATTGGGTTACTATCAGAGATTTATGGATGACTTTCTCGAGGCTATACGAAGTTCCGATGATAATGAGGTCCATCACATCATCAATGCTGTGCGGATGGGATCATCGACCAGTGAAATACATTTCGAGGTGAATAGTGTCCTCGAGGGAAAACATCCCTCCTGGCTTTAGATTAAAAGAAGTGCTTTTAAAAACAGTCACATTTGAATCCAAGGTATGCATAGAGCTCCCGTAGTTATAGTAAAGGATATCGCAAATATGCGAGAATACGCGCACCTAGTAGGAAAGCCGATATTGAAGAGCTTGACCGGGGGGGTATCCTAATAATGAGCACATCATTAACAGAACCATTGAAAATACCCGAAACTTCATCAGCCTCTTTGGAGCCAGGAAAAAGAAGATGGTCAGGTGGACAAGGTCGAAAGCATGCGCCCCACTTCATCGGAGTAGAAGAGTGGCCAGACAACTTACCAGTGGTTGTTGGGAAAGGTGGGCCTGATAAGGGTCAAGATTATTTGGCTAAGAGGAAGAGGTGAGAAGGAAGCGGTGCCAGTTCAGAGAGCAAAAATTAATACCTACTCTGCGGGGAAATGTGCATCAATTCTGTCTTCAGTTGAAAGCAAATGTTGAGACACGGTCAGATGTGAAATCTGCTGACTCGCCTGTGAATATAGGGGTAAAATTAGAGAGATCGGCAACACAAAAATGAGTTGTCACGTCACAAAAAGAGGAGACCTGCGGGTGGCCATGATCGTTGCCAGTCGTTCTTCAAAGTGGGGCTCGATTAACATGAAGTGACTCCGCCATATTATTTTTGATCCAAGACCAACGCGGTGAGAGCGATTTGAGATCCATATTGGTCCCTTATCGGTCCACGAAGGCTAGCAGCAAACAGGCAAATGACCAGATATCGTTGATTCCTGTCAGTCTCATAATGCATGTGAGAACTCAATGTCAACGGTGATCTCTGACGTCGAAGGGCCAGGTAAGGCCCGATCGCAATACCTCAAAGAGTCATGACTTTTGAACACTGTTTGATAGATAAGGTGAAACAGACTCAAGCCGGGAAAGGGGTCCTCCAGAAACTCTGGGGATTGCTCCTATTGGTCAGATTCATTCATCACTAGATTCATGAACGTAGCTTGAGTCCCAATTCCAACCGCGCGGCAGAAATAGATGTGTTGGGTTCCAGAACAAATTCCCTGCAGCTTAGGAGGCCACATGTTCAGTCATAAATCTTTTTTAGCCCCGCCGGAACTGATCTTCACGCCGAACGTCAATCACCCTCCCGTACCCCAATATAGAAGAGCTTGATGACTCTTAGTTCACACCTCTTGCCATGACATGGCATTCTTGATATCATAAAGCGACGCTTGCGAACCCACTTCGCCCCAATTGGGTAATTGAACGCCAAGGCCTTTTCTCCCTGCTGGACCACTAATATCAGACTAGGGGTGACGTGAAGGCCGGAAGGTTTATTGCATTTACCAGCTCGGCTGGGTCTCTCTGCTTCGACCATAACAGACAAACAAAGAAGAGTGATTAATGGTTGATCACCGGTAACTTAATCCGAGCCATTTAAGTACAAATACTTGCAGGATGGGCTCGAAAATTGGACATCGTTATCAGATCGTTAAAGCGAAATGTTCAATTCATCCTGAGTTCGTCGGTAGAGCACGCCTATCAATGCAGGCTGATAATTCAGTTTCGAGGATTTTTGCGGATGAGAGCATGCGAGAAAGTCACAAGTCCACGATTGCGGGCGGATCTTGCCCGTCGCCTACGGGGAACACCTCCGGCAATTGGAAATTGCTTTGCCGACCCCCATAAAGGGGGTCTCCGGGTGACCCCGCTCCCCGGCTCGAGGGCGCTTGGGAAGTTAATCAAATGTGGCCGGGGGCGGGTCTGGAAAAGTGGTTTGATGCCAAATCATTGGCAGATGTGCACATGAACAGCCCTTAAATTGCAACGACGAGACAAAATGTTGCATTCCTAAAACTCGACTTCAGAGATCGACGCGTCAACAGCGGTGGTCAGTGGGGCGACACGTCAACGCGCCACACATATCTACCACGCGTAACCTCGGTGGCTTATTGGTAACACTGAAGACATGAAAAGGCTTTGTTACTCACAACCAATATTGCCAAAAATGGGATTGATGTCGCATCTGGAATGGTATTCGAGTTCGTTCCTATTTAACTTGCTCTTGCCGTGTTAGCCCCTTCCATGAAGAATGAATGTGCGGCGAAGACGTACCAGAAAAGTTCAAGCGTGGATTGACGGCGTGCTGACTGGACCCCCTTCTAAGGCCTCAGCTCAGAATGAACTCATTCCAGCGTCAGAAACCTTCCCGTATAATATATTTCCTCCAAGAAAGAAAATCTCGAAACTCGCGGAATCCTTCGATCACACAACTTCATTCGGGGTAGCGACAGTGCGAGAGTGAGACGTTGGATACGGAGGATACGAGGCCCTTGAAATCCGAGTCTAGTAGTGATATTGATCATCTTAACTTTTTCCATTGAAGAGTTCGTTGGGAAAAGAATTGACTCACATGGTAGGTATATCTTGCACGTGTGCCTTCTATACGACCCACTGCCGTTCTGGTCTGTCCGCCGCAACCATTCTCAGAGAACTGTCGTGGCAAACCGTACTGTAGACTATTTTGAATCCATAATCAAGAATGCTGATTACGAATAAGGCAACTTCCGTCTGCATACTAGATAGGCTCGGCATACACCAGTTCCAGCTGGTGGATCACCTTCAGAGCCGGCCAGCGTGGTTCCACATGGATTTTCGACGATCTGGCTGTGCCTATTAGAATCGGCATATGATGGTGGGCAAAAATCTCATATTCGCTGTCAACTTCGAAATATCAGCAGTAATGCGAATTACACTCAGAATTTTGTGCATCATAGTGCTAGGATGTTCGTTCATCATGTTCTACATCTGAGATATAACAAGTGCTCCCATAATACTTTGTATATTGACAGACGCTCACGTATGTTGCTGTGTTACCGCTATGAGTGAGTCATGCTGGTCTTGAATGAGACCCCAGCACGGATACGGTCGCAATCTTGTGCTCAAAAGAAGATCGGACGTATCCTTTTCTTATTCCCGCCCACTGAGAGTTGGGTCAAGATATATTGACACTATTTGCAGCGATGGTACTGTATATCCCCAAGATACCTAATAACACGAGAGGGAATACAACATCCCAGTCTCCAACTATACAATTCCAGATGGGTGATACGATACAGTACCTCGGCCTCATGCAATATCTTCTTCTAGGGCTGGTGATCAACAAGCAAATGTAAGAAGCATAGCCAATGTGGTATGTTAGAACAAAGAGATTGTCAAACGAAGCTGAAATTTACACGACTTTTTCGTATCTGACGTTGTCTCTCCCTTGACGAGTAGTCTCTGTGGCTCTTTTGCTTCATTGCCTCTTGGATGAGACGGCTCATATCACGATTTTTACGGGATTGAGCAACTTCGGCTGGCATTGCCAAAATACAAGGCAAGTTCGGGCCCTGGAGTAATCTGCTGACCATTGCGATATCTTCTCGTTTGACCGCTAACAACAGGGCCGTCTCACCCCAACCATTGATCGTATCAATATTGATTCGAGGATGCCCAAGCAAAATATCTAGGATATCAAGTCTTCCGTGACAAATGGCTACACAAAGTGCCGTCTCCTTATCAGGACTGTTCAACTGGTTGATCTGCAGCCGATCACCTTGCCGGACCAGCAATTCAACCATATCACGGTGGCCCTCCTGGGTTGCCAAAAGAAGCGGCGAATTATTGGGTGTTTCCACGGCGTTAATTTGTGTCTTTTTGTGAGTGAGGAGTAATCTCACCACTGCGGTATTCCCTTGTTGTATAGCCAGACAAAGAGGAGATTGAGAGCCCCCGCATAGATTTGGGTCAAGACTCGGCCGGCTTAAGAACCATCCAAGAACGGTTGTATCATTTCTTCTGGCTAGATGGTGGAGCGAGGTAGAAGGGCTATCATACTTCCCACATGTTCCAAGCGTACTGATCTCCACGTCCTTCTCTTCCAGAAGCCTCTGCGTGACACGATCATAGAATGAAAAGGTAGACCACCACAGCGCAGTCCTACCGTAACTGTCTTTACGGTTCAAGAGAGTATTTGCGTGGCGAAGTAGAAAATCCACTGCCAAAAGATGACCGCTCCTTGCCGCTGTGTGGAGAGGTGTCAGTCCCTGTTCATCAACTATATCGAATTCCTCTCCCCGGAGGCGCAGCATTCGTGATATGGAAGCACCTCCGCTACCAGCAACTGACGTAACCGTTTCCTCACTTCTAGTGAGCGGTGTATCCTGTGATATGACTCCAGGGGATGTCGCTTTCCAGTGATCAAGTAGGAGATCTTTGATATTGTTTCTGTTTCTGATGCATGCTTGGATTCATGGCGATATTCCAATCAGATCTTTTGTATCAGGGTTGGCACCTCTTATGAGTAGTTGGCACACATAGTCTCTGTTTCCTTGAAAGACAGCAAGCCAGAGCACCGTCTGCCCCTCAGAATTTGGGAGGTCGACTTTGAGCTGAGGGTGTTGAAGGAGCTGGGTGACGATGACGGATGATGTTGTCGCCACGCTGTGCCACAGAGCACTCTCTCCCTTGGTATTTCTCAAGTTCACGCGCAACCTTCTCTTCTGCAGTAATACTTTGATCACCAGCTCCGAGCCGTGATCTGCGGCTGTCATGAGAGGGGATGAATCGTCAACTAGTGCATTTACGTCGGCTCGGTAAGAGATTAACGCCTTTGCAAATGCACAATGATTGGTCTTAGCAGCCCAATGAAGCGCCGAGCTGTTTTGGTGCTTGATATTGTACTTTATTAGCGCCAGACGCAGCTTGGGATAGAGGTTTCGGTGGGTCTGAGCAAAAGCAGAAATCTGGCCGCCCGATAAGGTGCTGGCTATGATCCAAAGAATCTCCGTTGGAAAATCGATAATGGAAACCTGTAGAGTATATTCAGCATTCAATTCCATTTCAAAGCATCGATTGCTCATACCATTGCCTCAACCCTCAAGCTGTTGACTTTGTGAAAGTATATGCAAAGAGGTTATGGGGTGCTGTTTCTTTCCAAGGCGATGCGTGAAGTTTGATGCAAAGTAATGAAACTAATGCACCGTATTTTTGGGCGATTTAGCATTGCAAGGGCCAATCAATTTAGGAATTAGGGGATATGAAGAGCTTTAAGTATCACTAAAGCGAAAGAGTGGATGCTTGACGATGCAATCTTGCTGCTGTAAATTGCGCTTCAGTTCCCAGGCAGACTATAGAAACCTCCAGTATTCAGAACCGTGGCTCCGGGAGTAGTGACCGGGATCCCAGGGACAAGGCGGTTCCCAGGACCGGCATATACTTTCCCAAGACATTCAATAATGATCTCATTACCGATTCATTCTCAGGCTCTTGGTTATTTGGAACACATCATCCATATCTGGTCCACAGTAATGTCTACTTGAACAACTTGAGACCCTGAATGATCCACCTTTCTTCCCTCGACATATTTGAGTTTTTGTGCTAAATACGAAACATGCTGGACAGACTGCCAAATTAATTTTTACTTTGGATCTGCAGAAGCCTCGATGGGAAAGAAATCGTTCAATTGACCATTTGCTGCTGCTGGGCAACTGCGCAAACTTGCACCAAATATCTCCTTGATTGTCTGCCCCACGATGAGATGCCACCCCTTCATCGAGCCATACTCGCAAGACGACTAGACATTGCGGGCCTTGTTGGATCTTTATCAGGCAAATCCCAACTCCGAGTACCGTGGGACGAGCACGCTTCTTCTCGCCATTGAGATGAGCTATCCACAAGCAGTTAATCTCATGTTGGAACATCACCCACAGCTATCCTATATTTGCGACTTTCAAGGTCAAGGGCCATTGTCAAAGGCGGTCGAAAAGGGCAATTTTGCCATCGTTGAACGCCTGTTGCAGTACCCAGCGCTGGATGTCAATGACCGATGCACCGATGGCATGTCCGCTTTGATGTACGCAGTGGAAAACGCCGAGCACGCCATTCTAAACTATCTTCTGACCGATTCCCGCGTGGATGTCAGCATCGAAGATTGCTTTGGGCAGAATGCGCTACACCTCGCAGTCCGAAAGGAAGACCATATCTCAGTGCAGATCCTGGCCCGAGACCCTCGCTTGGATGTCAATTGGTGCGGCACCCACCGAAATACGGCACTACTTCTCGCGGTCAAAATCCTCAGGAGGAGGTCGGCGCGTGGGATAGTGGAGGCCCTACTGCTCAACCCAAAGCTTGACATCAATCACCAGGATTCTAGAGGGCGCACGGCGCTGTGGCACGCGGTGGACCTGCAGAATGAGGAGCTAGTGCAACTGCTCTTGGACCAGAATGACCTTCATTTGAATGACGCGGATGATGGAGGTCTTACCCCTCTTGCGCGAGCAGCGGAGCATCAAAGCCCTCGCTTGCTACAGATGCTTCTGAGGCAGCCGAAAATATGTATCAATGTCACGTCGAGCTTGGTTTCCCCGCTGTGGGCCGCGTGTCGGGCGGGTTCGCTCGGGGCAGTCCAGAACTTGTTGACCCAGAGGTCCATTCAGGTCAACGTAAAAGCCCCCTCTGGAACTTCGCCCCTTCACGTAGCTGTCATCAACCAACACTTAGATATTGTGTCTCTTCTTCTCTCGCAAGGTGAAATCGCATTGAATGAGGTTGGGCCCTGGGGCTTCACAGCCCTCATGTTTGCTGCTGCAAGGGGGTATATTGCATGTGTTGAACGGCTGTTGCGCCACCCACAGATTGATCTCCAAGTTCAAGATCCTTACGGATACTGCGCTTTCAGCTTGGCGATACTCAATAGACATGCTCGGGCAGTGGATCTTCTAAGCAGTGCATTTGTGCGGCAGAGAGCACAAAAATTAGGCTGCCCATCGGGCTAGCTTTCCCAAGACTGAGTGGAGGAGAAATAGAAAATTTGAGTAAAGTTACTTTGCCAGACTGCTATACTCCCCATCTTAGAGTCAGATGACTCGGTCATTGCTATGTAGCTCAGCTCAGCGAGCACAGACGTTAGCCAACAGTCCACTGGAAAGTGCGGTCCGCTCAATCACTGATTTTCCCGGTTCAAGTACACAGTACTTGAGTATAATACCGTAGCACTGGCTGTCCTAAAGCTCCATTTTTCTCTGCTATTTGAGCGATTTGAGCGTGACATGAGCGTGGTCGGCCGCGAAACAAGATCCCAAAGCGCCGGATAGAAGCCTCTGTTCTAGCTTCACTGATGGCCCGCCCTCCGTCTAATGCATCGAGTGTATACAGTCGCTCGCCAGATACACCAAGACCACACTCCTCGACGGCTTTGCCTGCCCCCCGGGATGATCTTCCCGAGATTACACCACTGGACCATCGGATCTTTGTGGCGGGGAGAACGACCATGGCATTAGAGACCACAAAGACACACCTCAGTACAGCAAAGAGCGTGGCACAATCCCCATTAGACCCAATCACTGAGAAGCGCGGCCAACGTGATCAGCAAGCTCACGAAAATGAGTTCTTCCGCACCTGCTGCACGAATTTCCGCCATCTAGCGACCGCCGTGGTTGACATCACACGAAAGCTTGTATTGGAAGATCATTTCCATTCCGACCAATTTATCCCAGTCAATGCACGCTTGTGCCGGGCTACATTGGCTCTTTGGGCAGCCTTGGACGCATCAAGGGTGGAGGAGGACAGGGCGGAACGTATTTGGATGCAGGAATTGGATATGCCGACAGCTTCGGAGCCATCTTCCGAGTGGATCTAGGGGAAATTTGGCATCGTATGCGATTGAAGGTCGAGCTCGTCGAGTCTTGGGTATTGGGATCTAAGAATATTCAGTGAGACGTGACAGGCGAGGTGACAGCCCTGGATGAGAGTGGCGAATGCGTACATTCGTTTCAGGTGACGATGTGAGGGCCAGTTGGACAGTCAGCTACCCTGGTCTGACGACCAGCCCTGACGGTGGCAGTTGGCGGGCCAGGCTTTGTTGATTGGCTTGCTTTAAGAAGGCGGTAGCAATCACTTCCGGATGGCGACTGACCAATCATGGTGGCTTTTTGGGGTTCAACTTGGCAACCTCAGTTGAACCCCCTCTCGGGTTCGCCCCCCCAACCCTGGACCTACGATTACACCGTTCTCCTTCTTGTATGTGGTCTGTTTATATCGAAATTCTAATTATAAAGTACGGATATTCATCCTCGTTCAACTCATTTGCCTAATAAATACAGTTCTGCCCTGTTTATTGGGTTGTAAAATTCCTCAACATTAAGCCATACGAAATATATATCTCTGACTTCAGGCAATCATAGTGGTATAACACATCACGATTTCTAGCAAATGACAAAACCCCGATCTCCGAATTTGATCGCGACTGCAGATCTTGCAGATCTTCCAGAGCCTCTGAGGCACCTGGGTATAGATATCCCGCTGTCACGTAGTCTGGTAATCCCAAGGTTGGTCAGGTTGGTGAAAGGCGGGCCACGTGGAGACTCCGTCACTCTGCGGTCGGCCCGCGCCCGGCATCTTCCCAATAATCTCAAACAGCCGAGGGAATTGGCCTTTCAATATAGCACCATGGCCTTCTAGTCTAGTCATATTCCAACTACTTCCGGCTCTGTGGGTGGACGTGGCTTGGTCACTTCATGCCGTCCCTCTGCAGCTCGGCTTTCGTGTTCTGACTTCAGGGGAAAGACCCAAGGCTTCCAGGGCCTTCAATCAAGACAGCTTCGCGCCAATTGCGCGATCAGCCTCTGGTTCGACGTGAAAGTTGCATACTGCAGGAGGGAGCGGCCTTTGGCGTCGCGCTGGCTCACCATCGATTGTGGATGAGAAACCAACAGCTCAAGGATCGCCTCGCGTCTGGGCTCAAAGCCACCGTACGTCTTGGCCGCGAGAAGCAATGCGCTGTCCCCTGCAAGGTCGGGGCGATTGACATCGACAGATCGGGAATTCAGTAAGATCTGGACTGCAAGATGATCGTCGTATATCACTGCTAGATGGAGCGCAGTGAGACCTTGGCCATCTGTGACGCGAACATCGAGTCGCGGGTCCCCGAGAAGGATCTCTAAGATCTCGTGCTGTTGATACTCTAGAGCCGTGAAGAGCGTGGGCTGGCCCTTCGGTCCGCTGCTGTTGACATCGATGCCCTGCTGAAGGAGTTGAATCACGGCTTGCACATCTCCCCGAGCAATTGCAAAGAACAGTGCATTCTGAATAAACTGACTGCAGCAATGAGCAGCGGGACGCTCTTCGTATGACGGCGAAGAACCTGCTAGAATGGGTAGTCAGCACCCGCACTGACACTGGAACAAGATGACCAACCGATGGTATGGAGGTGGTGCGACATCTCCGACATATAGTGAGAGGCTGTTTCGGATGAAATGATGGTGGCGCCGAATAGACTTGTGGATGGAGGAGCAATGCTCGACCTTGCAGGTCAGTATTTATAGAAGCCACTATGATAAGCATTTCATTCTTCTGGCTGATCCTCTACTTTACATTTGAGCTAGATGGAATTCGGCTGGTGTAGAACCGCAGAAAATGAGGCCCGTGGAACAGACAGGCTGTTCCCAGGAACTCTTGTGCTCCCAGGAATCTCCATGATCTTCCTGGAGCCCTGCGTTTGCGCGGAACGCCATGGATTCCTCGCATTTTCAACAAAGGCTTCTCACAGCGGGCCAATCTCTTTGCGTCTAATGTGTAGGCTAGTTGGTGCAATCCGCTGCCTCGATGGACTGGAATGCCTGCAGGTAGTCTATTAGAGCAAGTTGGACCATGCAAAAGGCCCAGCTCCTGACTTACCCTCTAGCGTACATTCCACACTAGGCAGGAGCAGGTGGAATTATAAAAAGCTAGAAGGCACTTGGAGACCCCTGTGATAAATTCTGTGCCTACTATTTGTCTCATCTTTGATTGTCGATCTACATTACATTTAGTCTTTTCGCCATGTCTACCTTTTGGAACCCAGTCAGCATTTGTGAGATTGGTGAGGATCTGGCCCATCAGGCTACCTGCTGCGGCATCACAGAGCGAGGTGCTCGCTGTAAGAATAGGATCTCTGCGAAGGTGCTCAAGCAGGGAAAGGAGAAGCTGAGAAGCCTTGCTCGAGCACCTTTTCATGCGCAGACCCTGCAGCCGATTTTGCACAACATTGCAACTCATTTCCTGTGCTCCAGGTGGCATCGAGATCGGCAAGCTGACCAGGTTAGTCGACGCTGGTATGATGCCGCTGTTCACAATCAGCCCGGCAGCAACGTTGTGCTGGAACACGCGGCCACGCTAAGCCATGAGGAAAGTGACCTGGGCCAACCTGCAACCAATCAGTTGGACCATGGTGTCTCATATGATACCAGTGAGACTGAGCGCGAGCTCCCGCAAGCAATCCAGCCTTGTGTATCCCCCGCGATGCTGCGTGCAAACAATGTGCCGTGGGCTGTCTCGCCGGCACAACCCGCTATTGCGTCCGTCGCGAATATTTTGGCAGGAACTCAAGACCTGGAGTTACACTGTCTCGCTGTGAGCCATGATGTGAACGACATTCATTGTACCTTTTGCCTGGCGGAAGATGGAGACACGACCGATGAAAATGTGATTCTCCGATGTCAACAATGCCACGCGCTATCGCACCTGTCCTGCATGGAACTCTGGCTGGAACAGCGCGACACAAGCTTTAACACCTCTTGTTGTGTTTGGTAAGTTCACTCGCTTCAATGTCATAGAGGGAGAATTCTGACAATCAGCAGCCGCAGTAATGGTGCTCTAGATGCCCTCATCCGTCCCATTAGGCGTCGGACTGAGTCCGCTAGCGCGTTAATGGTAGGCCGGGACATAGGTACGGGGCATAATTCGCAGCTAGAAGACACCTTGTCCACCGAGGGTAGTACGACTTCCCAGGGCCGCATTGCTCGGTCACCCCGCGCACCAGCACGGGGCGAACCATCTCGTCGGTCGGCACGGCTGACACGGAATGTCAGTAGCACTGCTTCGCTTCGACGATCGACAAGATTGGAGAATAGCCGACCGTGAGGCCGTGAGTGATAGCTTGACTTGTCGAGATGGTATTGATGGAGATCAGATCTGTGTGATCGAAGTATTAGTAATGTTAGCCTACAATTGAATTGATGATTTTCGAGACCGATGCTCAGTTTTCATTAGCCTTACAGCTGGCCGCATGCACATTAGATCGATTACTTACTTGGAGACATTTGGGCGTTTGGAGCCAGAGTGATTACATTTTGCCTTGTCTGGCCTTAGCTAGAATACAAGAGGGCTCCCGGGTAGTCTTCCAACGCAATATCCAAGACTTGAAGGATTTTGTTCTAACAGTCGCTCGGCAGTTGGAATTCAACAATCTGACGCAATCATAAAGATACAGCGCAGAAATGTTGATCGCCATCCTCTTGAGAATGGCCTCGCAATTTATCTTCAAAATATCCGGTGGAGTACCACTACAAAAGGCAGTGACCTCAAATCTCAGTAACCAAAATCATCCACACAGAAGCAAACCACGCAAACCAGAACCGGAGCCGCAACTATCTGGAGAGCAGCTTTCCCTCCCTCATAAGCCACATTTCCAACCAAGATAACAGGAACTGCAGCAGCCATCACAGTGGCACCAACTGCAAGCTTAAGCCCATTTGCGACCCTTTTTCTCAGTCTTCCGCTCCGACGAGCACGGTGTGGTGTTTCAGGATAGGATGAGGTTGTTGGTGGAGGCACTTGGAAAAAGCTTTCTCCGGAGTCTGGCATCGACGGATGGGAAGAAATGTCCAGGGAGGAATCCCTGATGCACTTTGCATAGTCTGGAGGGGCTTCGTTCGGTACACACGCCATGTCGTTCTCGTATGCCTGATGATCAAAGGGCAGACGTGAAACCAGAACTGAGGGGTGTCAAATTTTAAACAGGTCAAACTCTGGAAAGAGGCTAAAAGTCTAGCTTGGATAGTCGTGGTGAAAAGAGTAGCTAATGAAGACCTCCCCGGTGTATTTAATACTGACTCGGGTGGCGAAACACAGGCCTAACCAGGCAGACCACAGGGGAACCGAATATACCTTCCATTGGGTCTGTAGCTTGTGAGGGAGAGTAGCGTAGGGGCTGCTACCTATCAGCCGGAGAATGGTCTCAGAACCAAGACTTAGAATACTAGGTGCTCCAATCCCGCTCCTGGGATCCAGATGATAAATTCTGGGAGCTTGTCCGATCCTGGGATTATTCCCGCCGTTCCCACGCGCAGCCGTGAAATAAGCCAGCAGCATCCAGCATCTTTTACGTGGCAGTTCCTTGCACAAAAACACTCATTTACCGCTCTCGTAGCCAATCGGTCCGACTAAAATGAAGGCTCTATACCGATTGATCAGGCCTGTATACCAGGCGTAGTTGTATGGATAGAATGTAGATCTCAGGAACTATCTGATACACATGCTATAAAGGATATCAACTTGGAACCCAGGTGACTATAAATATCCGACTCAAACCTGGTATCTTGAAAGACATCTGCCTCTTTTCTCGTTTTCCTATCCCCATCCACCCGCAGCCACACCATGTCTAACATTCAATGGGATCCTCTGACTACTTGCGAGATGAACATTGCCTCTCAAGAGAGCAGGACTTGCTGCGGTCGCACTATCAAGGGTGCTTCTTGCAAGAGCCGTATTACATTATCGGTGGTTCAAAAGGGCCACCAAAAGTTGATGAGCCTAGCCAGACGCCCACTGGACTTGGCGACCTTGGAGCTCTGTCTTCGTGATATTGCAAAGTGCTTCTTGTGCACGAGTTGGCACCAGAGCCGGCAAACCGAGGATGTTGCTCAAAGATGGTATCAAGCCGCTGTTCGAAACTCGACGCCATTCAGTGGTACCGGCCGCTCCCCTTCACCGCCGATAGCGCATCGTCTTCGAGAACCTCAGTCGCTCAGATATCAGAGCTCGATCACACCGTCCAGTCAGGTACGCCCAATACACCACCCCATACACCTGCTACAAGCGTGCCACCCCCGAGCATGGGGTCGTTTGTCACAGCCGCAACACTCAGATCAAACAATGTCCCGTGAAATATCTCGCCTGACCATCCCGCTTTCCTAAGTCACCAATATTCGGGCTGGCGTGCGAGGCGTAGAGCTTCATAGTCTAGGCCACAGCGATGATTTCACCGATATACACGGCGTCTTTTGTCTGACCGAGGATGATGGAGACGCAAAGGAGACAGTGGTCCTACGCTGCATACAGTGCGGTGCTTTGTCACATCTGGGGTGCATGGAATGGTGGATGAAGAATAGGGACAGAGGTTTCAAAAAGCCCTGTTTTGCTTGGTGAGATGAACTCTGTACGCTTATTTGACTATTACTGATTCAGAATATAGTTGCAATGAGGGTGCCCTCAAGGCTTTCTGTTGTAGTTCAAAGGAAGATTGATTGTTATTCTTTTAGAGGGAATACATGAAGCTATATATACAACAAGAAGAACCAGTTGATTTCCAATCAACTTGATTATTCGTGTAGATACATCGGGATTAATTCCGATGGTGCGGCTCTGTTCCTGACCTGCACCAACCTGGAATCACAACAATCGCAACAGATCCTCTCCAGTAAAGGAATCTAGAATTCGGTTGACAATTCGTCAGCCTCACTAATGTTGCTCTCTGAGCGATCATACCCTGATGGTCGTTACAACAGATGAGATACCTACGTCCCAAATTCCTTCGAATGGCCTACCTCTGAACCAACTTCTTTTGGCGCATTCAAGGGGCTTCGGCAAACCCGCAATTATAGTAGTGCTTCTGGATTTGGGTGCAAATTTCAATCCTCTCCGCCTACCTAGTAGGGTACTACTACTAGCAATAAATTACTCGGCAGTGAAGTGACAGTCGGCGAAGTCCCCCACCCCTCCTCCCCTTTTGGTTTAGCGATCAACCCCAGCTGAGTCGGCTCAACCATTCTTCAGTATCCGCCTCCGTGAAGCTCAAAGCGGGCCTTCAAATACACACCGGTCAATTATGGCGCCCAAGGGCACTCGCCGAACCCACACAGGCTGTGTAACATGCAAGTCAGTTCAACGTCCTACCCCTTGGCTCGACAATACTAAGCGATGCCTCCCACTAGAGCTCGGAAAATCAAATGCGACGAAGCTCATCCGTATTGCTTGAGATGTGTATCTACAGGGCGCAAATGCGATGGTTATACCCCATGGATCTCTCGTGCAGAACGTGTGCGGTCTTCCGTACAACTTATTAAACCTTCCGCGATACCAGGTGCTACAAGCCTAGACTTGCGAAGCTTGGAGTTTTTTTATCGGATCATCGCACCACGTAAGCCGGCACTCCACTCATTTTGGTCTTATATTCTCCCTCAATCGGCACATCAAGAGGCTGCCATCAGATATGCAGTTATTGCAATGAGCTCGCTGCACGAGCAGGTTGTCAGAAGTCCTCCGTTCGAGAACAGTAATCGCATATTCTCGATAACGAATTACAATGCTGCCCTCAAACAAATTGCCACCCCGTCACAAGCCAATAAAATTGATACTGTGTTAATTGCTTGTATCTTGTTCATCAATATTGAATTCATCAGAGGGAATGTACAGAACTCACTACTCCACTGCCAATATGGTAGAATGATTTTGAACTCATATAAGACACCACCGTATTTTTTACGCGTCTTTCGCTGGTGTGAATTGTTTGCAATCTTCTTTTGCGAATTTGATAAAACAGATTTCTCAGAAGTAAAGAAATGTTCCACATGGGAGCCTTTTCAAACAATTCTGGATGCTCAAAAGGCACTGGACTGGCTGATTTATCGTTCAGTAAAAGTGCCATATGAAATCGATTTCTTGACAGCAACCACGACAATTGACACCGTTTCTCAAACTGAGTCAATAAAAAAATCGCTTGATAACGATTTGCATGCGTGGTCACGTAAGTATTCTGGTCCATGGTCACTAGAATCCGCTCCTGATCAAAGCAAATTTTATGAATTACTCAGGCTAGAAGTGAAATGGCTCGCTTGCAGTATTTGGATCAACTTAGGTATACCAGGGCTGGCAATCTATGCTCAAGAGACAAGCGCTAGACGAATGCTTGATATTGTCAGGCGCATTTATGATATAAACTCCCCGAGCTCTATGGATATCGCGAGTCATATGGTACTACCGCAGATTTTGCATTGCATTTTGATAGAATGTGGAACTCTGGACCTTCAGCTTACCGCTTTGGATGTCTTTCAAGAAATATGTTGCTGCGGTGGAGCTCCAGATTGTGTTGAGCTATATAAGGCGGCGAAACAAAAAGTTGAGAAGAACCATGGTATTGTGTTGGGACCGGAATGGACAGTTCCGGATGGGCTTCAAAAATTGTCGAATGTACAGTGTCTCCAAAGTCCCTACGCCAGTAGAGCCCAGCTCCTGACTCCTTGGGTACTTGTGGTGGTGGCTACCCGAGAACGAGTAAAAGAAATGTCAGGGATATACATGAAGCATACACGCTAAGCGGAGGACACGGAGTCACATAGCTTATCTGGGTTCCCCTGAACGCGAGGAAGCTATCTTTCTTTTGCTTCCTCGCGCTACGTCTGGTATCTAGAGTCGACTCTAGCTTTCTTAATATTGATTATTCATTCGGAAGACACACTCATCCAACGATACGTGAGATCCTCACAAGTACCAACAAAGGTCCTAGGGGCGGGAACACTATCCCTGGATGCACTCCCGTCGATCCTGGAGATGACTCACGAGGCCCTGGGTCTAACAAAGGACTGCTACCGAACTGCCTTCCTGGTTGAGACGTAACTTAAGAGACCACACGAGTTGGTCATGTAAGTTCCAGGTCTGTAAAAACCAAAACGTGAAGCACGCATGCATAGAACCGCGAACGGTGTCATTGTTCTAGCCTCGTCCGAACGTAGGAAATCAAAGGCTGTCTGGTAGAGGTCGAGCATATAGTAGCTTGGGTGTTTGGTCGACCAAACATTGTACCTTTATGGCCTGTTAACCTAGTGGGAGAATCGAGAGGATGCCAGAATGGGACTCCAAAGTGCAGCAAACAGTAACAGTAAATAGGCCAATCAAGTCTTGCGTCGGCGGCTAGATGTACATGCTTGCCCAATGGATGGTCGTCTAATTTGCTATATGGTTTCCCTTTACCGTAGGAATGGGTTCATAAACAATGTTGTGATGAATTTTGGGGTTTTGTCTTATCTTACTATAATCATACAACGATATCTGAAGTAGTTGAGAATGGAGCCACAATGAAGACAAGCTAAGTTCTATATGAGCCAAGTGGATCCCTGGTGAGCCCGGACTCGGAATGGGCCGGAGGTGGTCATGACAAGCAGATTGAAATAATTTCGAGTCAAAGACCTGTGGGGTCCGGAGGTATTAGGAAATGCACGGGCCCGCTCGCTTGGTGGAGAAGGGCTTGTTTAATAGCCAATCAATTTCAATTAGACTGAGTCCATTCAATTGCACAGTCTCCCGTTGATCATCCATCAAAAAAAGTCCAGAGCGTTCAGCTATGCATAAACACAACTGTTGATCGATCGAGCAAGCCAGAAGTGTCGACAATCGACCGTTTAAATCAATCCAATTCTGCTTTACGGTCAAAAACATACCTCCTGATACAAAAACACAAACCATGTAGATCCTGAGGCATGTGCTAATTGGGGAGTTACGTGCGCTTTGAAGGGACTATATACGTTGTTGATTCAACACTGCTGGTGAGTGATCGTTCTTCGTTCTTGTGCGGTGAAGTCCCGTTGTTGAGCAACCGCAAGGCGAGTGGGACCGTAGTGGACTGGCCCGTGATTCGAGCCGCAGGGGGAAGCAATGACGGTGGAAGTTGTCTGAGAGAATGCACTGCCTCTCCCATCAAAGCGCGAGGGTGACTACACTAATCTATTGCTTCAACTGCCCCTCTTGTTCATTAGAATAGAGGCCACCTCATTGAATCCCTCCTCTTTGTGAGTACCAAAAAATCGCACTCCCGCTGTTTTTATTTGTTAGGCCCTCATTTGACGTATTTCGGTCATGAATACCATTGATCATGACTCAACGATAGTGTTCCTCTTATTCTTTATTCTTTTTATTCTCAATTTGCGACGCATTTGACTGGCCGGGTGCATCGTTGGCAATCGTGTGGCTATGCTCGTACTTTGGGCCAATCAAAATCAAATACTACTTTCACGACATTTTTTTCGGCCGCAGAGAATATTAGGCCTCCTGGGGTCTGGTTAGGGTGACTGAGTAGGGTCTGCTGATATCCCAACCTCGAAATGTGATCATTTTTTCCATATAAATCACAAAGTGAAAACCTGAACTGCTCTGAACTTGTCGGATAAATTGCATTTTTGGAATGCATTAGAAGAAACTGTGTTTCAAGATGCATCGCATCATGGTGGCAGCACAGTCAACAGCTCATTACCATCACCAGGCTCATAGTCGTGTGTCCTTTTCGATACTTGGGTTCCCCAATCGGTGACGGAGTTTTCTTGCCTTCTATCCTTCCATCTTTCCCTGCCGCCTCCAACGTTTTTAACACCGAAGCTTGAGCGCCCAGGGTGTCGATAGATCCATTCAAGGTCACATTTGAACGCCACTTACGCACGTGACTAGGCACTTGAAACACGTTTGGCCAATAGGGGATGGACTTATGGTTTTCAGGGGACCGTGAGCTCGGAAAGAGACAGCAAAGAACGCCGTGGTCTGATAGGTACTTGGTTTGAGTTGGGTAAATCTGGGACAAAGAACTGCGGGGATGTGGATCAACCTTCGATTCCTTATGTGGGGAGCGTTTTTTTATCGCGTGAAATTCCATGATTTGGATTGGCCGTTCTAGCCAGGTTTCATTCAGAATGAGACGAAACTGAGGATCCCGCACCGATTTGGATTACGTTGGATCGGCCCCAACAGCGAAAAAAAAGAAAAAGGAAAAAAAGAAAAAAAAAGAAACCAAAAAGGTCTTGCGGTCTCGTAGAGGTACAGTGCATGTGGAGACTTGTATAATAAAACCGCGACTCGCCCCCGAAAATTAATCTGTTAGACGTCTGTTCCCCCAGATTTTTCATCATGGTGCTCATTGGAAATATCTATGTGATTGCTTCCGTTGCCGTCGTCGGCGGTGGTTTGTTCGGCTTCGATATTGCGTCGATGTCGGCGCAGCTTACGGAGAACTCCTACCTTTGCTATTTCAACGAGGGTCCTAATGGCCCGCCCTTCGACGACAATCCCGACTGTAGCGGTCTTCCTTCTCTGAAACAGGGTGGTGTAACAGCCTCCATGGCTGCTGGCTCCTGGCTGGGCGCCCTGATCTCTGGTTTTATCTCAGATCGTCTCGGTCGAAAGTACTCCATCATGCTGGGCTGCGTTATCTGGTAAGCGGATTTCTATACAGAAGAAGCGAGGATATTAGCTGATTTCATACAGGATGGTGGGTTCCATCTTGATTTGCGCCGCTCAGAATATCGCTATGCTCATCGTTGGTCGTATCATCAATGGTATAGCGGTTGGTATCGAATCCGCTCAGGTCCCGGTTTATATCTCAGAACTCTCGCCGCCGTCCAAACGTGGTCGGTTTGTGGGTTTACAGCAGTGGGCCATTACTTGGGGTATCCTTATTATGTACTAGTATGTTATTTTGGCGCTTGTCGAGATTCATTCGGCCGCCAGAGAATGCATTAGCTAATCATCGTGTGCAGTATCTCGTACGGATGCTCTTTCATCGGAGGCCAGAAGTCCTACAATTGGAAAGCTGCGGCCTGGCGAGTACCCTGGGGACTGCAGATGATTCCTGCCATACTCCTGTTCTTTGCCATGATGTTCCTGCCCGAATCTCCTCGTTGGCTGGCTCGAATGGATCGTTGGGAGGAGGCCCATGATGTGTTGGCCCTGGTGCATGCTAAGGGCGATCGCAACCACCCCTTCGTGGCCATCGAATTGCAGGATATTCGAGAAATGTGTGAGCTGGAACGCTCGTTTATTAGCGTTACCTATATGGACCTATTCAAGCCAAGGATGCTTAACCGTACTCTCATCGGATTGTTCACCCAGATCTGGTCTCAGCTGACCGGTATGAACGTTATGAGTAAGACCTTCATGATTAAGTCCCCATAAAAGCAAAGGGCACTGACCTCGTTCCCTCTAAGTGTACTACATTGGCTACGTATTTGCGATGGCCGGTTACTCCGGTAACTCGAACCTGCTCGCCTCGTCGATCCAATACATCATCAACGTAGTGCTGACCGTTCCAGCTCTGGTTTGGATGGATCGCTGGGGGCGCCGACCTACGATGCTGGTGGGCGCATTTTTGATGTGCGTCTTCATGTTCGCCAATGCCGGCATTCTCGGAGCTCACGCTGAAATCATTCCTGAAGGCAAGCGTAAGACTGCCGAGGAGTCAATGAAAGTGACCGGTTCGGCGGCCAAGGGTCTGATCGCATGCACTTATCTATTCGTCGCCTCATACGCACCCACATGGGGTCCTGTATCGTGGACTTACCCACCCGAGCTCTTCCCCTTGCGTCTACGTAGTAAGGGTGTGTCTGTAGCCACCTCGGGCAACTGGGCGTTCAACATGGCGCTAGGACTTTTCACCCCACCAGCATTCACCAGTATCACCTGGAAGACCTACATTCTGTTCGGTGTTTTTAATGCGTCCATGTTCATCCACGCCTTCTTCATGTTTCCGGAAACCGCCGGAAAGACCCTGGAAGAGACTGAGGCCATGTTCGAAGACCCCAACGGTCTCAAATTCTTTGGCACTCCGGCCTGGGAGACTCGCGTACAGACTATGCACACCGCTGCTCTGGAGCATGGCGACCTAGAGAGTACCAAGCCACAGGCGGAGACTGCAGAAGCTCCCGACACCCTGCAGATGGCTGTGACTCACTGGTAAAGTGGCAGCAAGAAGGGGTAAGCAAGGTCTTTTCATTGTCAATTCATGACTTCTCGTGCTTGACTAATCTGTCGGATTTAGGGATCTGTGTATGAGCTAGTATCGAGGATGTCCGATTAGAGAGGATGGTTCATTGATGTCTGGTTGAAGAACTATCTGAGCTTTTCAGGGGAAATACATAGAAAATGCGGGCGGGCGCTGTATACACTAGTCCTAGAGAGGAATAGTGGTAAACCCACTCCTCTCTAGCTTGACATAATCTTCTACACCCGAATAGCTTTTGTGAGTGCTCTGTAAACGAGGTATTGATGGAGCGGCGTATTGGCGAGGGCATAACTCGCTGTTACCGTAATCTATGCCATATTTTTAGCCTACGGGCAACGATAGTTCGTTTGTTTGTCTGTCAAGCTTTTTCATTTAGCCTTTCCTTTGGTCATGTACGTTTTGCGTATTATACCAAAAAAGCCTGGTAACAGTCATTGAGCGTGGCATTAGTATTCCGTGCTGCCCATTCCCTGGCAATCAAATGAGGTACATTGTACTTCCTGGAATTCAAATCATATTTCCAGTATGTTATAATGAAGTTTACTTCAGCTGTCTCCTATTCAGTACAGAGTATCCTTTGTTTCATTTAGATCAACAGTCTCAACCGACCTTGTCTGCAGGCTTAACAAAGAATCCATTACTATGGCTTTCGCGGGACGAAATCTGCGCGATCGAATTTTGCTCGGTACTGCAAGGTCTTTGTAGCCACCATAGTCTTGCCATGATCCTTTAGAAGTGTGCAAGCACCTCTTTGTGGTGCTAGAGACCAGTCTTCGGCTGCTGAACTAAGTAGTCGAAGAAGCCAAAACTTACACAACTTTTTCGTATGAACATAGAGTTGAGTGGTTTTAGATATGTCAAAGGGATATCAATGCGAATGCTATCAATTTTCTTTTTCTCTTTTACTTTGTGCATGAAATTGACATACACTGTAGAAGGAATCTCTATATTCAATACTGCACAGCAACCTCCCCTGGTTATCGTAGCGATTGTGTAGAAGATTCCACGATGAGCTCTCATGATGAGATTAACTCCCAGAGAAAGAGTTCAGACTTGCTGTGCTAATGTGCGGAGGTAGATGTTGATGAGTGTTGATGAGTGTTGATGAGTGTTGATGAGTGTTGATGAGTGTTGATGAGTGTTGATGAGTGTTGGACTGGTGACGGCTTGTTGTGGGGGTGAATGACCAGGGGAAAAAACTAAACATTCTCCACATCCCTCGGGATTTGTTCTTGCCTCGTATCTTGTCATGTCCTCCGCCTTGCCTTCTCATATTCCAACAACCATGACGAGTTCAATTTGAGAGAATAATGATAATACCACAGACACGGTCAATAAACCAGTCAAAATTAATGTCAGTTCAAACACAAATCATTTCTAAATTTGATGTACACACTGTGTCTTTACATATACAGGTAATTAGCTTCCTGGCAATGAATGCTATTCAGACCGAGTGGCCTCTAAATATCAAGTGAATCCCCGCAGATGAAATACGCTATGAAGACCCAGCCAGATAGTTTTTTACAGCGTCAAATTATAATTCCGCAAGCTAGTGCTCCGAAAGGAAATTGATACAGGGACGAATCCCATCAGTGGCTCGCTCCGTGATTCCAATCTCATGATATAGTGATAAGAAACAAATCCGCGGCATTTCACAACACACGTTGACATCGCACCCATTGCACACGCTCTCAATAACCTCCGCTAGCTCTCACATCTACTTCTAGGGCTTACGAGGAGTCATAAGCATTCTACAAACAATTCATAATGCGGGCTACAAGACTGCGGGACCTGTAGAGGTCAGCTGGCTGGGGAGGACCGTACAACGCGTGGATAACGTTGTATCCCGCCCATACAGCTCAACCCGCACGACAGATCGCGGTTTACACCGTTCATCTCTGATCGACCTACCGTTTTTACTTAATTAGTTCTCGTGTCACTAACTCAAGAGGAGCGGACATGGCTTCCGCGGGTGGCCCAAAAGAAAGGATTACACAAGATACAGTAGTACACATTTGCGTAAGGCAATCCCGCTCTAAGCTAACCCTGCAGGTTTTCCGAGCTTTGACACACATGATTCCACGTAGAGCGAGTAGTGGCCTCCTTCAATACGCGGGATAATGCGAAAGATTGCACACGAGCCACATGTTGTAGAAAATATGATCGTCAATCTCGATTCTTAGTGAGTCATTCAAATAGAGATCAAGGTCACACCCGTTTCAATGCGACTAAGTTGGGGCACAGTTAAAGCGGACATTGAAAGCCAGAGAGAAAGGAGAATCGGGGGTTCGACTGTCCAGGTGTGCCATATCGAATACCGTGTTTGGAGCCTGTTGACTCTCGAAGATGTAATTGTGAACTCGGAAGTCTCAATAGACCGGGCGCAAGGGTACTGTAAATAAAGCAGGCAGGCCGAAACGCATCTCACATTGACCGGTGTCCGACAAGGCTAGTGTTGTCAGCAAATAGCAGCGGTAGCGGGTGACATGGTGGGGTAACATGAAGGGTAGCAAGTTGCCGACGTGACGCGTAACAGACATACGACGCGACGTTTCTGCTGCTCGTCAGCACGCGTTCGCAAGCAACGGGTCTTAGACAGTCAACAATTTATTCTGTACGCTATCGGGCTTACCACCTGACATGCCCCCGATATATCATATCAGAACTATTCCTTGAATTTGTCTCCTTTCATATGCTCCACGGTATTTGCCCGTTCTGTCTAGGTTTTCAATCAATTGAACGCTGGCGGCACGGGGGAACTTACCAGAACCCCCTTTCGAACTTAGTTGACAACAGACTGACGCCTGTTTCGGTAAAAAGATGTACTTAGACGCGGGATATAGGTAGCTTCTTTGCATATTCATCGTTGGCAATGGCAGCCTAGCTTTCGATATCGCGACACTGCTGTATGACGCTTGGACAGCTTGCACTCGGCCAATTGAATCAAAGTATGGGGTATCGTCATGATTTGAGGCTAGGAATTATATTCGCTCGGTTTTTGGGTCAGCCTCAATGCAACTTCTCTTCTTGCTGGAAATGTGCCACACAGCTACGACTGACAGAAGTCTCACCTCATCAAACCCCGCCCAAGTCAGTGTCTTAATAAAGTTTCTGGAAATAGTTTTCAAGGTCAGCAAGGTCGATAACATGGCGGTGAAGGGATTTTTTTTCCATCATGGACAGTGGAGCTACCTGTAAGAGCTGCTGTGGTGGGAATTTCCCCCTCGATGACAACGGCTTTCATCCGATAAGCTTTTCTCGGGATCAAATGATCCTAGTGTCTGTTATCTCGAGATGAGGCTTTCAGGGTTGATTTTATTCACATCCTCTTGCCAGTCATTCTGCTCTGCTCGTGGCACGCAGGATTTCCAAAAGAATGAGTGATGATTGATGGGTTTCTTGGGCCGGCTTTCACGCTCAACCCCTGCCTAGGGCCGGAGAGGGCCGACACCCGCAGGGTGGCCCCGTATACCGAAGGCCCGCCCGAACCAAACGCCACACCCCCCGGAGGGAAGGTCTAGAATAATTCCCTCGGGCACATTGGGAGCGACCGAAGGGAGCAGACAACAATGGACATGGTTTGATTGCACCCGCTTTGACCTTCTCCGTGGTGATCGCGGAACGAGCCTTCTTCCAGCACCAGCCTCTATTCCGCCATCTATTAGTTGCCCGTATACTGTACGATGTCGATTCAGGCGTTGAATCCACAGACGTCACAACAAACTGGGGTCAGCTCCAAGCGGGCTTTCAGACTCCCAATCCCCGCTAACCTCAACGCGGGCAGTTTCATTGCAATAACCCGCAAGTTTCGGACTGGAATGTCGGTCATCGCCATAAACCTTCTAAGCGGTAATGACTTGAGCTGTGTATGGAAATATATATCTCAGTCACTCTTTTTGCAGGCATGTTGTAGTGGTCTCTTTATACATGGTAAAAGTTGAATTATCAATGAGTTGTAATTATACAATACGTATGTACCAATTGGAACCAAGATAGTTTCCTCTCCCAAGGGAATCATCGCCGGAGGCGAGAAAAAATTTGCTCTGATGGTGAAAGGAAAGAACTCGTCAGCACCCCATTCCCTTGCCTCAAATGTGGCTCTTTTGGCATCGACAAGCACGATAGAAACCTATATCGCGTATTGTAAGTTTATCCTCGACGCGCAAATTACTGCTCTTGACCATCAAGATTGTGAGGTCATACAATTCTCGACACGGGAATGTCATATTAACGACCGATGAAGTTCACCACGTTCCAAGTTGATTAAATGAGTCAGTACAGTGCTCAAATATAGACCAGTGGGCGTTCCTATATATCCCAAAGACCTTCTGCCGAATTCGTATGTGATTAAAAAGGTTTATTATCTTTCTTCGTGTCAAAATATCATGCCATGATGCTCAAGAAGAGCATCCTTGAAGAGATCTAGAAATTGAATTTTAAGCCTGAAGGCTACATAACAACTATATCTTTCTAGCCAAGTGACGATCCTTCGGGCTCTCCAACATCTAAACTATTCACGCCCGTACTGAAGGCCCTTGAAGGACTTGGAGGTGAGGGTCCAAAGCTGACCCTTCAGCTTGCTCGCTTAAAAACCATCAAAAGTGATATGTATGTGAATTAATTTGACAACACATGTGCTAAAAAGGTCTCGCTCATATTCTGAGCAATGGCCAAGAGACCCGAGGAGCCTTCGCCGATGCCCCATTCTAGCTATTTGCTTAGGATACCTGGATTCAATCAAGTATGCGGATGGCATGATATGATGCCATTTATCGTGGCTAATGAAGCAATTCTGATACCTGTTCAGTAGACCCAGCCCACATCGACTATTGCATCCCTTGCATCCCCTTCACACCTGCTTAATCTATGTACTTTCAACCAAAACATTTATTTTGGTCTTGTTGTGATATGAGGCTGGTGCAGATCAGGAATTGAGCCGCACCATCGGAATTAATTCCCGAGATATCTAAATGTAGCATCAAGTTGATTTGCAATCAACTTGTTTTTCTCGTTGTATATATGGCTTCATGTGTTTCGTCTGAAATAATAACAATCAATCTTCCTTTGCAATACAACACTCTTAAAATGCTTGATGCCATTGAGTCAGGTGCATACGTCAAGCCAGGATTCGTGCATGCGTATTGCAGATCCCTGGCAACTTGTGCATCCTGGAAAAAGAAAATGCAAATTATCCGGCTCGTTTTTTTTTAGCAAGACAACATACAACCGACTGCATCATTCGTCTCGGATATGATCGCAGTATGATGGGACTATGAAGTCAGCTAACCTAATGAGTGGGGGATGATATCATAGAAGAGCAAATAATCGGCAATTCGAGACTCAAAGATTATTTTCATAGGTTATTTAATTCCCGGTTCCTTCCTGTAAGTGCAAGGCGTCGCTTCCAATGATACATTGTTGTTCTCTCGTGCCGAAATCCTCAAGAATTAGATACCTCAATAAACAAGTCGAAAATTTACTTCAAAATGCACAACGATTACCGGAAGGACCTCCGCTCTTCGGATTACTACAAATTGCCACCGGGAGAGTTGATTCCCCATTCTCACTCTCACCATCATAGCGGACATAGCCATCACCACGGAGATCATAAACATGCACACCACCGGGATAAGAGCGATCACAGAAGCAAGCACGATCCTCACCATGGCCTCCATCTTGCAGAGGGAGCAGTAGCCGCTGTCGGTATTGCAGAAACAGTGCATCGACATCGTGAGAAGGAGGGAGAGGACGTCAGTCATGGTTTTGGGCATATCGTTCGTACAGTGGGTGCAGGTGCACTTGGAGCAGTGGCTGCCAATGAGGTTGAACGACTTCATGATTCACATGAAAGTAAGAAGCATAATCGTCCATCGAATGATCACCATCACCACCGCAGCCATCAGCATGGCCATGGACGTGGGCATCGCTAATGGTGATGGATTCATCAATTCCTTCTTTGATGTCAATGATTAATGCCTGATGATCTATTGAAATGTGCTCCTGAGAGATGTAATGTAACAATTGATTATATGTTTGCAACCCGTTGACTAGTCCTGCCAGTAATAGGCTGGCACACATGATTCACAAAATTCTACCTACATATCTCAACATATTTCCATGCCTTTGAATATCACCACCGAAACCGTAGAAGCGACCCAAGCCCATCCCCAGATAGTACCTCAGAAAAGTCCATCCTGGATAGCAATAGCGACATCGTTACACCATGAAAATCACGATCTTTTCCCGAGTATTGTTCCAGCCCATGAAACAGGAAAAGAAACATGCGCAATTCATTCCACTAGGTCCGCGCTTTCAGCATAGGCAACAAGAACTCCCGCAACCTGCGAGATATAAATGTCTGATCGGAAGCCCGTTGCACGAGCATTAATGACTACCTCTGGATGTAGGCAAATGTTTGAGAACCAGCTTCGAGACTGTTCGTGAAGATCGTGTCGGAGAAGCTCAGGAACAGCGCTCCGGCAAACATATGACTGAACAAGGCGAAGGGCATTGCGATGGGATCTATGCCGGGAGAAGAGTCTCTTGAACAGCAATTACAGGCCATAGAGGAGGCAAGGACGGAACTGTAACACGAGTGGGGTTAAAGTGCTTACAACTGGCATTTCCGAGCCACGCCTGCTCCAAGAATTATATGATACCCAATCTATGGTGACCAATCGTTATGTCTTAACGCGTCTTGAATTGCATTGACGGATTTATTACCGTGGGTAGTCCTGAAGCTCAAGAACAATTAAAATAGAAATTGGACGGTGATCAAAACTTGGATGACGTAAAACAAGCCAAAACGATATTTTACCCAACAAGGCATTCAAGTCGGAGCTCCAAAATAACTTCTCAGGATTGGTCGGCCGACTTTGCCGGGATACCAGCGTTTTCCGCCTATGGAGTCCTCATTTAAAGTTCACAAATTCGCGATGCGGGGAAAATAAAAGATTACGGCTCCTGGGACCTTCTCCGCAGCCCGCAATTCTCTGAAGTTCCTTGCAAAGGTAGATAGTACACTGAGTACCTAAGGTTTGGTATCGTGAGGTTGTTCCAAGTTATTCTCCCCTCCTGCATAGAAGGAAGCCGGCCTCGTTGGCTCCAAAAAGGTACTTATGTGTGGGGACGGATTTCAGTGGCAAAATGTGACAACAAATATCTTAAGATCTAATCTTGTTCAAAGTCCATTCAAGTACCGTTATTACGTAGGTCTCTAATGATCTGGAATTTTGTGGGCGCCGACGGCGCAGGTCGGCTACGGCGACTCTTTACTCTATGGTGGGATTGGTTCAAGATGCAGGTATAACGTACACGATCCGGGATAATCTTGATCGGAGTGCCTTGACACGACCTCTGTCAAAATATCACACAACATACCGTATTGAGTCAATCCGCTAGACTGCGACCCTGCACATCATCACCCTCGGTATTCGTTTGATGTAATCACACTTCTACCATATGTGTAAACTTGAAAATAAACCACCCAAGTTGTTCCAAGAACCGTGAAATGATATATAGCTGTGAAGTATTTGAGATCTATTTCATTTGGAATAAATGGAAATATTTTTTTATTTCTGTTTTTCATTTCCTTTCGCTTTGAGCCATTTTCATCAGGAGAGCGATATTTTTCTTTGCATCATCACTACAATCAACCCATCGTCCTTGGGACACAATAGCTCGCCATTTTCAGCCAATCCTTTGTGGAAGATACAAGGCCTGGAATCTTCTAATACATTACGTCCACCATATTATCTACCTCCCACAAGGTCCTGTCGCCACACTAGAGCCGAGATCAGACGTGAGGATATCTCCCCCGAGAGAGCGAAACACCTCGAGCGAAACCGCATCGCAGCCAACAAATGTCGAGAAAAAAAAGAAACAAGAGCGCAAGCACTTACAAGTAACCTTTGAGTCTGCGTCCGCCAAACACAAGGCCCTAGTGAGAGAAGCCAAAGCTTTACAGGAAGAAACTTGGTATCTCAAAAACCAGTTATTTGTGCATGCACAATGCGAGGACAACATATCAGCACCCAGCTGAGTGGAATGGCCAATCAATTTAAGGAGACCACCAGTGATCCATTCAGGTATTTCTCACCTCCACCATCAGCCAATACATGCTCGGAACCATCTATAGTGGATCCTGGCGTGACCTCGGGGATCGATGACGAGGTGAAACGGGAAATGCATGGAGACAGATTGTTTACCTTTTTGGATATACCGAGTGGAATACAATATACCATTTATCCCGTTGCCAAGTAATCATCGAAAATCTTTTTTCAAAAAGCAATGAGCGAGGTGACCCATTAAACTCAATCTGTGGACCTACATCAACCGTGGCTTTTATCCTCTGGGTGTCTAAAATGCACTACGTACTGTTTGCTGCGTCATGCTTGACTCTGCAAAAGTTTTGCTTGGAAGAAAAGACCCAGAAAAAAAAGAAGGCAAGGCCCATCGACGTACAAACAGCTAGATAACGAATGCCGCCTCCCACTACCGATAGCTATCGTGGACCTCAAGACACATTCTCTAGTCCTTTCACCCTTTAGTTTGTCCATTCGGGGGATGATACAGCGGTGGCATTAGCTGCGGTCTCTCTTCAGTCCGGCTAGGGATCTGAACGTTGCTTCATTCACAACGAGCAACTGGGTGGCTATCATGCCAATGCCCGACCAATGACGAGCGCAACCGGGCCCTCTTTCAATAATAAGTGATTCAATGATGCAGGCTTTGACGCACCTTTCTTCTTCTGGTTGGATCATTTGGAAGATATTTTTCTGGTGCTCAGAACAGTTGAAATCCGTAGCAAATTTTGCAGAGTTGGCGACGTTATGGGTCTCTCTACATTAACTCAAGGGTTTTCACGGGAATTCTGTATATTTTTGGACTTAATCGAGGGATAAAAGTATCTATGCATTCGACTTAGTTCACAAGGAAGCCTGGCTAATCTCCAGGTTTGGAATCTGAATGTCACTTCAGATAGTGAATTGGCTTAAGGAGGCAACAAATTTCCATTCCGACGAGTGTCTTTCTCCCGGAGAAAGGGGTCGAGCACCCAAAAAAGCAGAAGTCAAAGATGATGTATATAACATGTCAAGTCCTATCGAATAATCTAACTCGACGAGCAAATAAGTAGACTGGCCCTTCGCTTACGGCTCACGTTAGATTCAGAGATGACATCATCGACTTACTTTCAATGTACGGGCTTCTTAGTCCTTAGACCATTCCGAGTTTAATTATTGGATGGTTGTTGCATCCGGAGAGACCCGCGGTGGCTCTGGTCATATCCACATATCCCATCACTTGATTTAGTAACTCTTCCAAGGCCTACGGTGATTGGTTGACCTGGTGGATTTCTGGCCGCCCCACTTCCCGTCTCACATATAGTGGTAGTAACTAAGTGTTATTGAGTTTACTGAGTAATCTCCCACATAAAGAGTGTATTTTGCTGTATATAGAATTTCAGACGGTTACGCGTTTCCACAGTAAAATTCTACTTTGGTCGCCGTAGCTACTGATGCTCAGAGTCAGATACGAAAGATTTTTCACGTTGAAATCTGCTCACTTTGGGGTGGAAGCGGGCGACGTTTGATCATCAATTGGCTCAATGACTTCATGATAGTTGTCCCTTCCCCGCAGACTTACATCAACTCGACACCTGCAAGCACTTTTGAGTCTTTCACTTCGTTTTCGCTGCTTGGTAGTGCTCGCTTAACGCGAATTGAGAAAAGTTTGGAATGATATCCGTGCTCATATTCCATTGGCCGACATCCTCTCCAGCTGCCACCTTTACCCATCTCTGGGACTTTGTCGATCGGAATGGAGCCGTTGAAAACAATGGTTGTTAGTCATATTATAAGTGATGACGAGGAGCTCAAAAAGCAATTTGGAAAATTGGTGTGTGACACCTTTAGCTTACAATTTGAACTTTCGCTGAATTACTAGACCTCTGATGAGAATTGCGAAATTCAAGGCTGGATTACGAGCAAACCTGTGGAGATACTAGGAAAGCTACACCACGCCCCCCGAGTCATCGGACCTAGTGACCATTTGAGCGCAGTTATCGTCGATCCCAACTGGGGGACGGGTCTTGCGAAGATCATTTTTAAGGGGCAGGAACGCGAGACTCTCCACACCCGCAGCCATGGCGGGGATGAAGCAGTTATGATCTTTTTACAGCCTGGGTTCCATTGTGTTATCACAGGTAATACTCAGGTAAAGTATATAGAAGGAGGAAAGATTCAATCGCAAAATTTGAATATTTGAGCTACCACTATAGGCCGTGGTCTTCTTGGTATGTCTCTTATAAAACATCGGTAGCTTGAACACATATAATTATTCCGCATACAGTTTCCTTGAAACCTCCGATGTTCTAGTAGTGGCATATATTCAAGTGGGTTTCTTGATTAGAGCTAGTGGCTACTTGGCTTTCAATTTTTGACCAAAAGCGTTTCGGTACGTTCGACCCTGTGCCGGACCCGCCAGATATACCTCAAGCAGAAAGGGGTGGTTGAATTGATTAGGTTTATCGCGGTCTTATTGGGGCGTTGACAAAGACTTTGGGGGAATAAGAATGTGGAAGCGGAGCTAGTGCGGATCGAGTCGCCGGGTCTGACAGCGGCTGTCATTCGGCTTTTCGAACGACTGGTTTGTATAACATCAGTTTACGTACAAGGAGGGGATACCTCCGCATTGAACGATGCTTACAATCACCTGAGAAATGCTATCAAAAAGGTACGGCGAAATACAGGGACAGTGGTGGAGATCATGATTGCGGGAGATTTTAATCGCCATGATCAACTTTGGGGTGGGGGGGGGGGGGGGCGATGATGCGTCTGTGAGTAGGCGAGGCGAAGCGGATCCGATCATTGACCTCATGAATGAATCTGCACTCAGCAGCCTACTCAAACGAGGCACCTAAGACTTGGCACGGCGGAGGACAGAGTGGGACTGTGAGTCTACCATCGATCTTGTTCTGGCCTCGCAAAACTTGACGGACTCGATGGCTAAGTGCGCAATTCTGGAGACTGACCACGGCTCGGACCATGGCGCCATTGAGACTGTGTTTGATGCCCCGTGGCCGAGCCCAAAGTATCAGGAACGGCTTCTACTTAAGAACGCGCCATGGAAAGAGATTGATGCTAGAATCGCGAGCACCCTCGCTGCCACTCCACCGGAAGGCATAGTGTAGCAGAAAGCCGATCGACTCATGTCGGTGGTCTCGGACGCGGTGCACAATTTAACTCCAAGAGCGAAATCGTCACCCCACGCAAAGCGGTGGTGGACGACTGACCCGACATAACTCCGTCATAGATACACATACTGGCGAAACCATGCCCGATCGGAGCGACGGGGAGGGTAAGGAGTACCTCGGCTCGAAAAGATGGCCCAGGGTGCGGCGAATCAATACCATGATGCCATCCGGAAACAGAAGAAAAAGCATTGGAATGAATTCCCTGCAGACAACGACAACATATGTAAAGCAGCGAAGTACCTGAAATCCGGGGATGATTCGGCATTTGGGAGACTACCGCAGCTTGTGAAAGCAGATGGGATCACCACCACTGACCATAGGGAGCAAGCAGGGGAGATGCCGGCCACCACCCTGGAGGAAGTAGAACGACAGCTCTTTGCAGCGAAATCGTGGAAGGCGCCGGGAGAGGACGGTCTACCGGCGATAGTTTGGAAGATGATATGGCTCACGGTCAAGTACAGGGTACTTGAACTATTCCATGCGTCGCTGGCAGAGGGCACGTTGCCAAGGCAGTGGCGACATGCGAAGATCATACCGCTCAAGAAATCGAATAAACAAGACTACACCATTGCAAAGGCGTGGAGGCCAATTTCACTCCTAGCGACACTGTGAAAGGTACTCGCTAGTGGTTGCAGAAAGGATCTCACACGCGGTGGAGACGCACGGTGTGCTCCCGACCAGCCACTTTGGGGCCCGAAAGCAGCGGTCCGCGGAGCAAGCGCTCGTGCTTCTGCAGGAGCAAATCTACTCGGCATGACGTGGCCGACGAGTCTTGAGCTTGATCAGCTTTGATGTCAAAGGGGCCTACAATGGTGTGTGTAAAGAATGACTGCTCCAAAGGATAAAAGCGCGAGGCATACCAGATGACTTGATCCGGTGGGTCGAAGCATTCTGCTCAGAACGAACGGCCACCATCCAAATCAACGGGCAACTTTCTGAGATCCGAAGATTGCCACAGGCTGGCCTACCCCAGGGCTCACCCCTGTCTCCGATCCTACTCCTTTTCTTCAACGCAGACCTCGTGCAAACCGGGCCAACCGCGCAGAGTAACCGGGAAGAAATTGAAGCAATTGTCAATGAAGCTTTCGACTGTGAAAGGAGAATTGGTGCGACCTTTGAAGCGGAAACGACAGCCATCATATATTTTGCGCCCAAGACACGTAAATCGGATCATAAGCCGTCTACCATCAAGGGGCAGACGGCTGTACCCAAAGACCACGTCAAGATCCTGGGTTTGTTGATGGACACCGGACTGAAATACAAGGAACATATTGCGAGGGCCGCGTCCAAGGGGCCTGGAGGCAGCGATGGAGCTTCGGCGACTCCGTGGTCTATCCCCAGCAACAGCGCGGCAGCTATTTACATCAACGGTGGCGCCGGTTGTGGATTACGCCTCCAATGTCTGGATGCACGCGTGTAAGAACAAGGCCATGGGGCCGATCAATCGAGTCCAAAGAGTTGGAGCACAAGCCATTGTGAGGACATTCCTCACGGTCGCGACCAGTGTAGCTGAGGCGGAAGCTCACATTGCCACCGCACGGCACCGATTCTGGAGACGGGCTGTGCAGATGTGGACGGACATGCATACCCTGCCTGAAACCAACCCGCTCCGCAGGGGTACAGACCGGATCAGAAAGTTCAGACGATATCATCGCTCGCCGCTGTACCATGTAGCGGACGCGCTTAAGCACGTCGACCTGGAGACACTGGAAACAATCAGCGCGTTCACGTTGGCCCCATGGGGTGCACGCGTGCAGGCCAATATTGAAGGACGATATGAGCCCCAGACTGAAGCGGGCGGATTGATGCAGATCGCGGTCAGCAGCTCGGCACGGAACGAGCTGGTGGGATTTGGAGTCGCAATAGAGAAACAGCCTCCTCGAAATCGAAAATTGAAGCTCAAAACCTTCTCTATCACATTGGGCGCGAGAGCAGAGCAAAACCCGTTCTCTGCGGAGCTGACAGCCATGGCACATGTGTCGAAAATGGTAGTGGGAATCAAGGACTACAGTATCACGTTGCTCACAAGCAACAAGGCGGCGGCGCTCACGCTCAGCAACCCACGAAGACAGTCTGGCCAGGAGATTTGTTTGCCAGATGTATAAGTTGATGAGAAGGTTGCGGACGAATGGAAACCGCATCAAATTCCACTGGATCCCTACTACCGAAGACAGCAAGCTGTTAGGTCTGGCTAAAGAACAGGCCAGAGCTGCGACACAAGAAGATGCTCTTCCACAAGAACGCGTCCCGAGGATGAAGTCGACAACATTGAATATCGCACGGTCCCAGGCAGTCCCCAGCAGTGAGCTACCAGAGAACATAGGAAGACACGCAAAACGAGTAGATGCCGCACTGCCAGGCAAGCACACCCGGCAGTTGTATGATCGCCTGACGTGGAAAGAAGCGAGCGTACTGGCCCAACTCCGAACCGGCATGGCTAGACTCAATGGGTATCTCAATCAAATTAATGTAGCAGAGACGGATCAATGCGATTGCGGATAAGCAAGAGAGACCGCGGAGCACTTCCTCTTCCGATGTCGGAAGTGGACGGCGCACCGGACGGAAATGCTACAATGCACGCAGACTAACCGAGGAAACATATCCTTCTTCCTGGGCGGAAAACAGGCTTCTGATGATCAGAAGTGGACGCCAAACCTAGAGGCAGTACGGGCCTCCATACGTTTCGCCATTGCGACGGGCCGACTCGAGGCCACTTGAACATACCGACCAACATAGCCCCCACCCCCTTCTTCCGACCCTACTCACCCACCACCTCGTGCTACAGATAGTAGACGCGCTTCAACTGCCGAAGATAGGATGTTGAACACTTGGAGAATCGCCTTCAAGCCAGCCTACTAACCCACTTACCAACCCACGAGAAACTCGCTGCGACACTGCTTTCTGGAAATGTTATATGTTATAAGGTTTTATGTATGGGCTTTCAGGAGACACAGCATACACAGATGGGTACAGTAGATCAGTGATAGTTGCCCTTTCGGTTCAGCCGCCGGGCGTTTATGAATTGTTTGGTTGTTTGTTTGTTACCCCATTTACCTCAATTTCCCTGGGCTGACTTTGCGCGCCGTCTATTGTGAAGGATGTCCCAGACACCCTGCCCTTTTATCTAGGTTCCCAGTGGATGCACATACAATGAATACACATGAAATGGCGAACGCAGTGTGGGCAATGGTTGAGCCAGAGATTACTCGAGTCACAAATGCCGAGGCAGAGATTTTAGAACATAGTGAATTTTGAGGCGGAATAAGACAAATTAATCGAAAGTGAAATTGGAACATTGGAACTCTACATCAAAATACGTCGAAATTTGCTGAGTCATGGGAAAGCCTTCATCGCTCTGACCCAATCACTAGGGGGCCTGTACATGTAGTTTAGACCCATGTAGCCTAGACGCATGTTTCTTATGCCGGCGATGGTGGCATCGGGCATGGGATATCATCGAGAATCCTCAGAGAAGCGAGATATTTCGACCATTGGCCCAGAAAGTGTATTTTGGCGGTCGCTCATCTGTGCGTTTAGCCTGTCAGACTTTTCTGACCTTTTGTTTCGAATGCTGGGGTAACACAGGCGGTGCATGATCACGATGCAGACGGCAATGATCCCTGCTCCGGATACAGTTCCAAGTACTGCGCCTAGGCTTTGCTTTGAGATGCTTCGCGATAGTCCGCTGCCGTCTAGCGCAGTGTAATCGTTGGAGCCCCATAAAGAAGACGTTGTGGGAAAAGAAGGTGGATTCGGGCCATTGGTTGTAGTGGAAGGTAGTAATTCATGGGTCTCACTCGCTGTCGCCATATGTTGACCACTTGAGCCGATTGTTATTGTCAGAGATGAACGTTCGGTCTCAATCGTGATTATCGTGACTATCTGAGACGTCGGGTGAAGTGAGAATTGAGAGCCAGTAATGGTCCGTGACACGCCATTAGCTCCGCCATTGTCTCCGTGGGTTGGCCCATACGTCTCTTTCCAAGTTACTGGGCTATCCTGCTCCTGCGTCTCAAGAGATATTTGTAGCGCGACAATATGATTAGTCAGTGTAACCGTCGGATCCAAGGTTCCTCGGTCGTTGGAGATGATAGAATAGTCACTTTCCATAGCATGGCCATGTGTGGTTGATTCAGCATCGTGGCCGTGGCAAGAGTACTGAAATCCGTGTGAGGGACTAAGGGAGAGTGGTCTGACGATTCAAGTTTGTCCTGTGGCTCGGTTGATGTTAAACGTTCTTTAGAGCCATTGCAGAATGCTGTACCCGCATTCGTTACCGAAACATCAGCCAACGCATTGGAGGGCAAAATATCTTCACTTTTGTGTGCGTTTTCGAATGTACCAAGTCGGGATAGTCTTTGGGTGGATGGCTCATCACATTCTGTACCTCTGAATCCAGCTGAAGCCGATCGATGATCAGATACAAGACTGGATACTGGATGGCTCTGACTGATTGGCGATTTTACGGCGCTTCTCTGCAAGGACTTTGACTTTTGAGTGGGACGATGAGATGCCGAGGTTGGTGAGACTTTCAATGATACCCTTTGCCACGGGGAAGCTGGCGATGAAGCCATAGTCTAGATTCTCTCTTCTGCAAACCGTTCGATACTAGGAAAGGACATTCTGTTGCAGAGTTTTATCAGGACCAAGATATATACCTGCACATTTGATGATATTGTTGTAGTTCAAAGGAAGATTGATTGTTACTATCATTCAAAGGGGAATATGAAGCTATATATACAACGAGACGAACAAGTTTATTGGAAATCAACTTGATTCTTCGTATAGATACTTCGGCATTAATTCCGATGGGACGGCTTGGTTCCTGATCTGCACCAGACGTATATCACAACACACAGCCTTGCTAGGTCCTATACGAAGATATAATGTCGGGGCTTGACCAATTTTGATCGGATGATAAAGGATTGCCAATGGCTATTTGGATATTTAACGAGAGTGTATAGTATGTATGTGATAGCTTAGAGCTCCCTCTTCCTAGCATGGCTGGCGAGGTGACGATCCCGATTGTCCTTCCTGGAGAACTCTCGGTCAAGCTCAAAGCCATATTTGCAACCTTCAACGTGACAGAAGTATATTGTACACTCTTCAGCCATGTTGGGGCGCTTCGTTCTGTAATGCTGAGGCACAGCCATTGACTTTGCACTTGAAGCGTTTGTCGTGGCGTGTCTTGTGACGGCTTGAAAGAGGTTAGCCCTAGAGTGAGAGTATTTGGACAGGGTTAAGCTGGAAAGACAACTTACTTGAGTTCATATCGTTTCCGGAAAGTAAGGTTACAGATACCACACTTGAAAGGATAGGAAGTTGGGATGTGCTCAGGACGGGATGGCTGTTGGTTTGTTGGAGCTGATGATAAGGGGTCATCGTGTTCTACAAAGTTGGCGCGTGAGGTAAAATTTGTTGGGAATGAGAGTGGTGGTGGGGAATGACTCGCAAGAACATCAAGAAGTGAAGGAGTCTGGAGGGATTGAGAAGATGAAAGCCCAAGGTCAGGGCCAGGATGCCCGATATCTAACTACGCAGGGTCCACGCAGTCAAAATGCTGATAGTGAAGATGTTCGTTTAGACGAGCGTTAACAGAGCTATGGTTCGAACTGGTTATCCTGAAAGCAAAGGGAGATAGGAGGGCTACTGAGGCCCGGGTTTCTCAACCGGATGGGCCGGCCTTGGGCCTGGAGGAAAGAAGAATACTTCCAGTCGAGGAAACCTCTTCTTTGTATACTCGACGGAAATAAAGCCCGAGGCATAAGGCTATGTCTTGGCAAAATGGTAGGCCTCAAATTTTCCTGGTTGGCTCGTTGTTCGCTTAGCTGCATCATGCATATGCAGATTGAGATGCATATTGAGATGCCGATGCTATTGGCTCGCTGACATGCCACCAGAGTGGTAGGCCTCAAAAATGGATCTTGACGGAATATATCCTTGGACTACTGAAAGAACGAGCATATTACCCATCGTAACTTGGGTCTCCATGCACATGGTAGGCCTCAATACTTGCCGATCACACTACTCCCGGTGCTCTATGAGTAAGGTGATACAGATCAACTGTAAGAATTCAGAGGGCCTCATACTTGTTGCACAGTACCTGCTACGCTTGAAAGTACTGTACTTTAGTCTGTACTTCGCATGCTCTGCATCGGCATGAAGTGGGCATCTGATCTATAAGTACAGCTCAGTGTTCAGCTCAGCCTTCTCAAGTTTTGAAAATCCCCCCAGAGATAAAGCCTGCTTCAACATAACCTTGCCTTTTGCCCTATAAATTCACCCTGAGCTCAATATGATCGACCTATCCCCCAGGATCATCGACACAACAGCCGCCATCGGCGAACTGGTTGAGCTGCTCATAGACGTTCCCAACAATCCTCCATCCATCTACGTCGACCTAGAAGGCATCAATCTCTCTCGCCACGGCTCAATCTCAATCATGCAAATCTACTTGTTCCCCAGGAATGAAGTGTACCTCATTTATGTCCATACTCTAGGGCAGGACGCCTTCTCACACCCCTCTACAAGCGGTGCGACGCTCAAAGGAATACTAGAAGACGAAAGCATTCAGAAGGCCCTTGTTGATGCTCGCAACGATTCCGACGCATTATATGCCCACTTTCGCGTTCACCTCGCAGGCATCCAGGATATCCAGCTCCTTGAGCTCGCAACTCGGAGTGGGTCAAGAAGATTCATAAACGGCCTTGCCCGGTGTATTGAACGTGATGCAAGCTTGACGCGGTCTGAAGCTAGCGCGTGGAAAATTATCAAGGATAATGGACGACGGTTGTTTGCGCCCGAACGCGGGGGATCTTATGAGGTTTTCAATTCCCGGCCCTTGTCAGAGACTATTATCAAGTACTGTGCTCAGGATGTTCGGATCCTCCCCAAGTTGTGGGCGTTCTACAATGGTAAGTTGGGTGGGAGGCTTAGAGGAAAGCTCGAGGTCGCAACAAGCGATAGGATCAATGTTTGCTTCCAGGCTGAGTATACGGGTGTTGGGAGGCATATGGCTGAGTCTCCTTCGGGCTTGGTGTGACTTTGTCAAGCAAACTTGAGTCCTATATACAATTTCGACGTTCGATTAGTTAGGACTGGAATGCCAAAACTTTGCCTATTAACGATTTTCAGAAGCGGGTTCGGGGGCATTGCAAGGAGTAAATTTTGATCTCTTTCAGAAAGGAAAGAAAGTGGCCAGACACGAAGAAGTAATCTTAGGACTGGCGTGAACGTCCGATTGTTTTCAATACTGTATGTGAAACCTATGTAACTTACTGCTTCGAACTGCAGTCAGCTGGCTAACGTAGCGTTATTTTCTTTTGCTTGCATCAGAGCTTGCATCAGATCCGACCGTCATTTCATAGCGACCTTGCTGGTCCTGCTCCTTTTTCGAACAGTAGACTCCGTGGTATTGAAGGCCATATTTCCATTCTGCTTGCAATAGCAACCTAATATTTTTTGCTTTTATTTGCGCTCATGCTCTTATTTTGTTAGTCTCCTTCAGATAGCATATGTAAAGACTACTCTAACGTGGAGACAAGAGAGAAGAAATGGGCTGGAATAGCATTGCCGGCAAAGATTGCAACCCGGATGCAGCCTTTTCATTTTCTTTTTGTAGCATTTGATCTCAGAGGTGCTTTCAACGGAGTTAACCAGCGAAGCCTTGATATCCGCCCTCGTATGAAGCGGATTCCCGCAGTGGCTAGAAAATGGATCACAAGCTTCATGAGCAATCGCTTTGCCAATATTGGAGTTGACGACTTCCAAACGGAGGTTGTGCCGTTAGAAAACGCTGGCTTGGCGCAGGGATCCCCTCTGTCGCCCATCCTGTTTACATTCTTCATTTGTTAATTTAGAAGCCCCTCGAAGTACTACATAACCTCTCAATGAAATTATGAAGATTCAATGTTCGAATTTTTGAGTTAACAAAGCTCATCTCGTACTCTTCTTTAGCGACAGTAATAGTGAAAGCCATGGTGACAGTGATCTTTTGGTCTCTTTGTTTCTTTGAACTTCAACTGGTATGGGTACAAATGGCTACGTTTTGAGACATGTTATGCAGCCGCGGGTATATGAGCGCGCGCTGGGGGGTCGGGGTGGCGGAATGTCTCCGAGGACCCACTAGAGAGCTAATGAAGATTGAGGAGCGGAGTGAAGAGGAGAGGGGGCCTGGATGCTAACAAATAATTGAGAAATGGTGATCTCCATCTATGGCGATATGGGCAATGGAGCGGAATCGCCCACACAAACTGGGTGGTAAGCTCATAACTAACAGCACCAATAAATATCACATTTAGATATGATATGGACCGAGGTGGATTTAGAGATCGACTGACCATGATAACGGTTCTCGAGCTCGTTCGAGCTCGTTTCGTCGTGATTCGCAGAGTCCTAATTTCCATATGTTCTGGAAAGGCAACTATACATTGCCACACATTTCAGGGCAGATAAAAGAAGAAGAGAAAGAGGTACACTGAAGAGCTGACTATCAAACTACGTGGGGTGGAGCGAAATTATTAAAAAGCCATGGTCTCCACATCATCATAAACATCGTTTAGCAAAAATAGCTCGTTTTTATTCAGGGAAAAATTCAAGTGCAAGAATCGCGGCCTTTTTGGACAGTTGTCATTCGCCATTTATGAGATTCGGTAACAATAAACCTAGAGTTATGAAGCCACGGGCTTGGCATAGCCACTAAACTCGCCGGTTTCTTTGACGATTGCTGGGATCTCATCTTCAGCTAGAGAAGCAAACGTGTTCTTCTCAGATGGCTTCCATCCAAGCTTCCGGAGTCGACTTGCACGGTTCCGAGAGTTTGACCCAGCAACAGTCTCCGTGTAGTCCGCAAAAATGTCGCCATAGTTTTCGGGAGGAATCGTCTTGGGTTCCGCATTATCGAGGCGGCCGATCTCCTTGAGAATGCGGCCAATCTCATGAGAGCATTCACCCCAAGAGAGCTCTTCGCCATTTTCACAAAAGAAGTAGGGATTTGGAACAACTTCACTCGTGGAAGTAGTTTCGAGCCAATGGAGAAGTGTCATATATCCGCGTGCCAGATCCTTGACATGGACCTGATTCCAGATTGCAAGTCCCTTTCCGATCTGACCAGCGTACCCGTGCTTTAGAGAGTAACGGGCAATTGTGGGTAGTTGGATTGATGTACGCTTTTCGCGACTGCTGATACCATAGATTACGGGTGGAATCATGATAGCCATCTTGGAGTTCGCCAATTCTTTTCTGGCGCGAACAATGGCTAGATCGATCAAGCGGTGGGGCGCAGAGTCCGGAAGTGCATCAATTTGGGCAGGGTTCTCATCATCAAAGATGACATTGCTCTTGTAGTTACCAGCCGCTGTGTCAGCCAGTAGGCTGGCACCACTGGTGTGAATGTATATCGTTTCTAGGCCTTTGGAATCCCGCTCTCTGATTCCTTCAAGCACGGCTTGAACTGAGGGCAGGTGGTCTGCAGTCGCCGTATGGAAAACAATGTCACTAACAACGACTTGCTTCCTGATGGTGTCATCATCGAGACTGCCAATAACGGTTTCGACACCCAGCTTGGCGTAATCCGCAACAGCTGATTGTCGGCGTATCAGCGTGGTGACCTTGTAATTCTCCTGCAGAAGGTAGTCTAAGACTTCTCCTCCAATGAATCCAGGACCAATGAGAAAGACAGATCGTGTCATATTGCAATGCGGCACTTGAAAGGAAGCGACTTGGTGCGAAAGGCGTGGGTTCCCATGGGGACTACAAGTAATATTTAGCCAGGTCGTGACGGCATATTTCGGCTATATGCGCATGCCGCGGATTTGTAATCATGATGGTGACCTCATTGCCCCATTCAACTGTTTACAGTGGCGTTGCAAAAGTTTGTGACCACCCCATTTTACCGCTCCATTTACCGCCTTCTTTATATAGTATAGCTAACCTCGCGTCGCGTAACCCTCCGTAATAAAATCGTGTGGTTTATGAATTTTAACCTCAATTTTGATCACCATGCCTCGAACTAGAGCTCTTCTAAGGCATTCAGTGCCTCGAGGGCCTTTGCCTACTACTCTTCCACCTCCTACAGTACAAGTCGAGATTTATGTCCGGCAGTATTTCTGGCAGAAATAGGCGGTCAATAAGGGGTGGTCGCAAACTTTTGCAACGCCACTGTACATGGGATAGTTTGCATGTTTAATGATGTTTGCATTGGGCCCCAGCACCCCCCGCAACGGGCAAAGCCAGCCAGTAACAATAGTCCTCCTAAGCCGTGTCAATCCATTCCCTTTCAGTTCCAACCAATGAAGTTCCGAATGTTAGGGGAAAGAGGTCGATAACGTGCTTGGTGCAAACAGTCGTATGAGTGAGACCCCGTCATCGCCGGTATAAATATCACGATCTCCGAAACGCACTTGAACTATTGATGGTAATCCGCCCAAATAAATTCATCAAAGGATGACCTTGAATCGCATTGCAGTCTACGGGCACCGGGGATGGGCTAGTTCGGAAATAGTCAAAGCACTTGCTAGCTCAGGTGCCCCCCTTCGGGTTCTCCATCGTCCTGGCTCCGACATCTTGTCTTTACCCGTCAATGTCGAGGTCGTCGAAGTCGATTTGAATAATCAGGCATCATTGATCGAGAAACTCAAAGACATCGATATCGTCATGTGAGTTAGTTAATGGAGAGTTATAATGAAGATATGCGCTGTAAATCAGACTTGCTCATTTATACCTTTCTCCAGTTGCCTTGTTGGACATGGCGGCGTGCCCCTTCAGCACCACTTTGTCAAGGCAATTCCAAAAACACAAGTCAAGCTATTCGTTCCCTCAGACCTAGCAGCAAGATACGATAAACAAGGCAACAGCATCCCTGTGAATCATCAAAAGTCCGAAGTTGAGAAGGCAGCTCGTCTTGCTGGTATTCCTACCGCAGTTGTTCTTCCCGGGAACTTCGCGGAGTTTGTGCTATCAACACCGTATGTAATCTTCTTGGTTAACGGAATGTGGATTTATTGACTGTGAGCATGTAACTTTTAGCGCGCTGGGCATTGACTACCGAGACAACCGGATTCAATTCATCGGTGATTCTGCATCGGAACCCTTGAACCTTTGGTACGTCTGTTTAAAGAAAATCGTAATTTCAATTTTCTTACAATTGTTTGATAGTACCCGCCCTTATGTGGCAGCGGCTTACGCCAGTATCTTTGCTTCAACACCCATCAGTCAGCTTGCAGGACGAGACTTAGCATTGTCTGAACTGAGAGTTACTGGTAACCAAATCGCCGAAGCCTTTGCGCGCAAATTTCATGCGGCTCCTATCACAAGGAGAGAAAGCAAAGAGCACATCGTTCAAGCATTGGGTGAAGCAATCGAAACAGGGAATCCAATGTCGCTGGCACTCTATTGTCGAAAGATATGGGCAACTGGAGAGCAGGCAAGAATGATTGGTAAGGATATCTGGGACGTTGAGGATTATCCCAAAGCGACTCTTCCTAGTTTGATTGTTGAAGGCGCCCTTGAACCCTACCGGTCGCTGCCTGAGGAGGTTAGGAATTACTTCACAAATCTGTTCGATCAATGTGAATGAAGAGTGGCCGGTCAGTCTCACCAGGTGCTACTCGTGTGTTCGTTCGTTCTCATCCAACCACCGGCTCTGAATGGCAAAATCCGTGAGCCGGATCTGAGGCCTTTGGGTTGGCACTGTCACGACAACTCGTCGAAGAATACAAGAGGTACAAGACTAGCCCGCCCTTCAAGAACATTACCCTGGACCATAGCGTTAGAGCCTGAGCGGCAGTTACTTTTACCCAGCCATGAGACCCTGAGCCCTGATATTGTTCACTACCTAATCCTGTAATCTACACTACGCGATCCGCAGAATGATACTAGATGCAGCAACAAAAAAGTTCAATGGCGCAAGCCACCAAAGCACCAACGGAGAATGCCACCCCCAGCCACGCTGCCGTGAAGGTATGTGCGCCGAAGCTCGCGAGGATTCCAAAGTCTTTGAGCACCGCCTTGACCGTACTCGTCATAAGGCCGTATATGATTGTGGAGCCGATAGCCACGCCAGCAACGAAAATGCTTGCCGCCAGGTGAGAGAGTACGAGGCACGTCTTGCCCCATGAGATTGTCAGGGTTGTCACCCCGAAAACGATTGCGGCGAACGTAAATATGAGCCCGAGGATATCGGCGGAAATGGACCACTGGGAGACGGAGCGGTATCCACTCAACGCCTTGTTCTCGATGCCCGGGATCAACTCCGACACTTCTGAGGCCGCTTCGCCGAACAACTTGGTGATGTCAAAAGAGAACGACGTACTGGGCTTTGAGCAATACGTGGCTTTCTCGCCCGGTCCCTGGCAGTATCCAAAGAGCCCGACGGAATAGAATCCCGGTAGGTGGGATTTCAGCTCGTCGGATATGTGCTGTATGGAATTGCTGGCCTCGCTGGCTGCCTCTTGGGCGGCCGAAGAGGCCTGCGACGCGTGGGTCTCCGCCGCGCCGGCCACTCCGCTCCCCACACTTGTGATATCCGATGTCACTGCGGTAGAGTCCAGGCTACCGACCGACAATCCGTGGCGGAGATGGGGAACGTCCGTTGTCGAGAATGCGGTTAGGTTCACCCGCATATGTTCAGCTTTGCATCCAGACACGAAACGCTTGCGGGGGCACTTAACTTCATAAAGTACAGGTCCCTAGGAGACGACGTGGACGTGCATCCTGAGAACACAATCGCAAGGCAGATCAGGGTGCCGACGAAGAGGCCCAAACGGAGGCATTTCAGAGCACGTGCTAGCATTTTCAAATCTGGATCCCGGAGGCCCGTAGCTTAGTATAGTGATTCAATTCAAAGAGACTGAGACCAGCACGGCACGAGTCGAGAAGATAGATAGATTCAGTATAAAGGTACAGGAGACATCATTTTGCATAAACAAATAATCCCCCCAAAAGTCGTCTCAAACTACAACAGGTTCGACTGAATCCTTGGTCGCAAGGTTTTTGTATCACAGTTTCCAGTCCCTTGCAATACCAGTGGTGTCCAGTATGTTCATCCGATTCATCCTGGTATAAGTCCAACGTAGCCCAAAAGCAACAACTGCAGTAACAAAACTGCAAGCTGCACACACACTGTTCCCTGTAGGGTACCCTGTCGATTTTTCACTATCTTTCCAGATCCATAGAGCAATGATTGAGCCTATTCCAACCATAGCGTTATTGAGAGCTGCTGCAAGCCCCACAACACGGGGACTTGGCATGTTACAAATGACCCAGCTCGTCAATGGTGCGATGTTTGAAAAAACCCCACAGCAGGATATAATCAAGCAGGCATATTTTTTTCGATATGCAGTCACGGGAAGGAGCGTAGTAGCCAGAAATGCCGCACCAGAACCAATTGATGCGACAGTCACTATTAAGCTTCTTTGATTAAAATGATCGGCTGTCCATGCAAGGCACAGGCATAGAATGTACCCAAGTGCCCAAGGGGGTACGGTCATCAACTGGGCCTCGATGGAAGTGTAGCCCAGTCCAGCCACAATAGTCGGGCAAAAATAAACCAGGGAATTGATTACGATAGCGTTGGAAAGCTAAATTTCAAATAATTAATTTCTCATAATATCTCAGGCAAGGACTTCATACTGACATAGGCGCAATAGTGTCCAAGCATGCGAGGTCCAACACAGGTTTCGATTATTTCTCGTCGACTAGCTGGCTCACTAGTAAAGCTGACGCTTTGCTCTCCAAGACGACGCTGGGCAAAATCCTTTTCTTCTTCACTCAGCCACTTCGCTGTATCGGGGAAGTTTGGCATGAAGGCAACGATGAGACTAGTGCAAAGGATGGTGATGGCACCTTCAACAATGAAAAGCCATTGATACCCGGCCAAGTTTCCTTTGCGGTTTAAAAATGCCATGCCATATGCGATGCAGCCGCCAAAGCAACCGGCAAGTGTAGCCGACGATGACACGATACAGATACGGAACGCGCGCTCCTCTGATCGATACCAAGCAGCTATGACATAGACAATACCTGCCCAGAACAAACAAAGTCAACAACTTAAACACACAAAAAGTCTAGGGGGGAACTGTACCTGGGAAGAATCCAGCTTCAAATACACCAATGAAAAATCTGATGGCTATTACAACAGACACGTTATCTGCCCATGCGAATCCCAATGTCAAAGCCCCCCAACCAAGGGCAAGAAAAGCGAGCCATAAAGAAGGTCGACAGTATCTCTTGAGGACCCAATTTGAGGGCACATCGAAAATACTGTAAGCGATAGAAAAAACCGTAATAGTAAGGGAATAGTCTATCGCCCTCATTCCAGTCTTTTGGAGAAGCGAATCGCCAGTCTCCTGGTTCAAGATTTTGGCATTCCCAATATTCGAGCGATCAAGATAGTTCATAAGATAAAGCCAGGCACAGAGAGGTAATAATCGACGATCGATTCTGCGCCGCAACCTTGCATGTGCCTTCGTGTCGCACTCATCAATCTGCTTATTGGTGATGTTTTCTAAGTGAACTGTTTCCATTTTGATATCTGATGCATCGTTACTCATTTTGTGTTGTTCAATGTGTTTAAGTCAGGGAAGGATATTTTCATGAATTTAATGTGTGGATGAGAACAAATGGGAGAGGGATGACAACGGGAATTACTTCAGTATATTATATATATTCTTGCAAGGTACACTGTACACTTTAATACAACCGCAGGATTGTCTTGGGAATGCGGGCACCAATTAGAGAAGGGGACAATAAGCCTGCATGGTCTATTGATGTTTGAAAGACCGATATATAAACCCACGGGTATAATGAGATTGCCACTGCCTCGGCAAGGCTTCAAGATCACTGCATTCTCGCCGAGATACTCTGCACCTGGGCACACAATTCACGAAAATGACGTGCCAACCTTTGCTTCTCACTTCAAAATTCGATTTTATCCAAGTAAAATCTACCCAGCAGCGTAAATTTGATTCAACGAGGTGATAGAGTCAAGAGATGATTGGATAAGTTGAAGTAACCAAAAAGGGACACTGACAAGCAGCAGTGAGACCATTCCATACCCAAGAAACGCTCTCCATACGACTGGGAGCTTTCTGTCGATTATAATTTCAGCTTCCAATCAGCGAATGAGTTCCACGATCAAGTGATACATTCAACTGAGTGACGAGCCTCAACCTAATAAAATGAGATTCGACTAACCGAAAAGCTTGTCTATCCGAACACACATAGTTACCAAAAGCTCTGGGTTTAACTACTTGAAGTTTCGGCTGACATAATTTATATTTCAATAAAAAGTGAAGTGGGAGCGCAAAACGGAGGTCTTGTAGAGAGATCAAGTCGAAGAGGCGAATGAAACGAGGCTGTGATCTGGACCGAAAGCTTATGTCAATTCCGAGGAAAGCAATACGCACTAGTACGGAGATGGACCAATGAATTCCTTGAACCGTACTTGAGATGTATTCTTCTAAATACATGATGATGGGCAAAATAAAGAGTTGAGTGTGCTGATTCAGCAGTTGATGCCTAAGGAATATAGGATGATGTGGTGTTGAATAAAACGCAAGGACGCTAGTAAAATAGACCTCCACTTTTCCGACAGCCTAGCACATCGGCGGACGTTAGGACAACTAGGAATGATCAATTAAGCACTGCCTTATAAGATAAAGGGGGAGGGGGCATTCTTAATATCTAGTCAGTAATCTAGATGAAATTAAAATTACTTGCGCTTGGGACTGAAGTGCCGGTACAGACTCCGACAGAATTGGTGAGGGTGTCAATAAGCGCGGATCTCCCACGTAGACCAGAAAAACAGCGACGGAACCAACCATTGAAGAGCCTACCTGATACAACCAAATGCGTCTACCAACCTACAAGAAGAATCCTCAGCTATACTTGCTATACTTGTTACTCTATCACACAGAGCTAGAGCGAATAAGAAATCTTGCTTGTATGCCTACCGATCGGACACAGCAACAGGTATTACAACTCAAGCTCCTGGAGATATTTGCTTGGTAAAGGCGGTACTGATTGAGAGCGCTGACGAGGTCAGGTTTTTATGGATCTCCCCTGCATCGTTAGGTTTGGATTCGTCAAATAAGTAAAGCTGAACAGTAGTCGTATCGGTTGGTCCTGGGGCTCTTATCACAATCCTCAGGAGCGGGTCCGTAACATCCAGGCAGAAATCTTCATCAAGAGCTTCTGACCCGAGTTTAAAAAGGCAATAGATTCACCGAGAGAATGGTAGACAACTTTATCATGAGTGATGTAGTCACAGATGGAGGACATGGCATGCCCCCTAATTAATAAAACTTGATATTCGCATATATGCCGCACTTGGACATTGAAAGGGGATCTGGCTATATGGGTCTAGGCTGGATTAATAACGTCTGCCTTGTGGTTGCCTTTTCAGTGACGTGCGTCGCTTGCTCGTGAAATACGTTGGGCTTTATGTGTGGTCTGGCTGGCACTTGTTTACTGCTTTGTGAAAAGGAAAATAGATATAGACCTTTCTTGACAATTTGGCGAAGCTTGAAATGCTTGTTCGCGTATCATTTGGAGTAAAGTTACGATGCCCATAATGGCGTGATCCGTCTCGCCGTATCGGGAAGTGCGGGAAGTAGCGAAATAACCGGTGCTACGTAAATAGCCGAGACAAATTCGGATGGATAAGATAGCCGAACTCAACCAGTGGAGAGATCTATTGATATATCGTGCCTTTGCCCCTACCTTCAAATTGCACCGATACATCTGTGCACACCTCATGGCTCCTACCAGCAAATCCGAGCTTGGTTTTCTATTGCCATGTGGAACTCGCGTAATCCATGGTACGGGTTCACTTGTCAAGCAGGCATTCCCTCCAGAGTCGAAATTACCCGGAACAATGGAGCTCTTTAGCGTAGGAAATGGCAATGATCCTTGCTGTCCTGTCTATCGTGGACCAGCTGGCTGCCTTCATTTCAATACGACTTGTCGAATGCCTCGGCATGTTCATATGGCAGTTGTTCCGGGAACTACAGAGAAACAAACGGGCGACGAAGGCCCCGAAATGCAATTTGTGGTCGAAAAGATTTTCGTTGCAAGCGGGATTGCAGTGGCCGAGCTCGCAGGACAGTACTACGTCTTTCCACCCAAAACGATGGTCATTATTGCCCCTGGTGTGCCCCACGCCTGGGTAGCTGCCCCGAAAGGTTTAGATTTGGAGGCCCTTGGCGTTGCTCCGCCTAAACCTACCGTTGTGGAAGAGGATCCGCTTGTTTCCACTGAAGAGCCTTCACGAGTGTCCGATGGAAAATTTGTTGCACTTTATGAATACGAACTACCTACTGGATTCTATCCCACGGCTCAAAAAGACCGATTGAGTTCAGCCAGAGAATTTATCTCCTGCGATTCCTTGCATGGTATCCGTATCCCGGAATTCAACATCGACCAGCTGAGGAAGCAGGCAAGCTTTATCTGGGGTACGAATTGTACGCGACAATAAATTGGGTATTACTCGCGATCTGAGAATTGAGCATGCATTGATAGCTTTTTGCTTACGTAGAGCAACCTCATAAGATTGGAGATTTTTAGTCAATCTAGAAGATCACTGTCAGAATTCATTGTGATGAATTGAAGTATGTATTCCTTCGGAACCTAAATTCTTCTGTCAAAATCAAAACGTTCATATTTGGCATTTTTTTTTATCCCTGAATCGGATTTCCGAGGTTAAGTTTGCTTTGCTTTTGCCATCGACGTATTTCCATGGCGTGAGACCTCCCCGTCAGGGCTGTTGATCAGCTACCGACAGAAAAATACCTCGAGAAGGACGGCACAACAGGATCGTGGATGACCTCGGGTAATGTAATGTATCAAAAATCCAACGAAATTGGAAAGTTATATGACGGCGCTTGAGGTATGACAAGTCAAAATAGAAAAATAAAGTGTCAAGTATATAACCGCGGTCAGAGCATATTGCCAGTTCAAAGCAAGGCTGATGACGGACGCCATGGGATTGATTGTTTCACATGAAAAATCGTGGTCAATGAAGTCAATTGTCTTCCCATTTAGATCTTAGTGGAAATGGGCACGCTTTTTGAGCCGCTACCTCTTGCATGGCACGGTAATTGGCTTCCTAGATTTTGTATTTACAATTCCTCGGCCCCTGTTTGGACGAAACGCCGACACGTTGGTCTTCAGTCACCAAGATGGCGGTCAACCAGTCTCCCATTGAATATCTCGTAAAACCAAGGCAGGAATAATATAAAACATGTGTATTGTAAAACTAACTTGGTGGTCAAAATACGTCTATTCCATCCAAGTCACAGACTTGGTCCATAAGAACTCATCCAGCATGTTGGTCCCAAAGCGTCCGAATCCACTGCATTTTACCCCTCCATGAGGAAGAGCCGCCTCGTCGTGAACAGACATAGAGTTGATGTGTACCGCCCTGCGACCTTGATTAGTATCAATTGAAAATTCGCAGAAAGAGTACATACCCAGATTCGATCTGTTTCGCAACCTTCAATCCTCTGACCAAGCTCTCAGTGAATACTGAAGCACTCAAACCATACTCTGTATCATTAGCAAGTTTGATTGCTTCTTCATCGCTGTCGACAACGAAAAGCAACACAGTCGGGCCGAATGATTCAGTCTTGTAAATTTCCATTTCGGCAGTAACATCCTCAACAACAACCACCCCCATCGAGGTATCAAGGGTTGCTTGGGTGTCCAGATCTCCAATAAAGACTTTACCGCCCTTAGAAATTGCATCTTGAACCAGTTCTTTGTTTTTGGCAATCGCAGCTGGGTTTATAGTTACAAGAGGAGTGCCTGGGCCACCGAACACACTATCCACTGAAGCTTTCAAGGCTTTCCGGAACCTATCGGCAATAGACCTGTGAACAATTATTCGCTCTGTACACATGCAGACTTAGCCGGCCTTGTGAATATTAGTCAGAAGTCATTTGTTGAATGGGAGTTGCGCTTACGTGTATGAATGAGCCGAGAGTAGCACCTAGAGCGGCCTTGTCTACATCAGCATCTTCGAGAACAACTGTAGGAGCCTTTCCGCCTAGCTTCAGGATAACTGGCTTGATATATTCTGCTGCAAGATGGGCAACCTTGCGCCCTGTGACTGTGCTTCCAGTAAAACTCAACTTTTTGACTGCCGGATGAGCAATCAGGGCTGTGGTCACTTCCCAGGCATCTGAGGGTCGAGAATAGATAACATTAAGACAGCCATCTGGCAATCCGGCTTGTCTAAATGCGTCCCCAATGGCCCAGAAGCATTTTGGGGAGAGAGTTCGGAGCCCTTCAGAATTGTGGTATTTCCAGCTGCAAGTGGAAGTGCCACAGCTCGAGTACCCAAGATATAGGGTGCATTCCTATCAATTATTAGTCAAACGAATTTACCCAGAGTGGTCCACATACCAGGGTGCAATTCCCAATACAACTCCATAAGGCTGTTTATAGACCAGTGCACCTGTGCCCTCTTGGGCCAAGGCAGGAGAAGTGGCTTCAATACCCGATACCTTACCTGCAACATCTTTTAAAAGGTTCACACCCAGCATTAGAATAAACTCTGCAAACTCTTGCTGAGACCCAGTCTCAATCATGTAGCCAATGAATTCATCTTTTCGAGCAAGAAAAATATCAGCTGCTTTTGACAGGATATCTCTTCGAACTGCAGGCTTCGTGATAGACCATACTGAGAAGGCATTTTCAGCCGATTCTATGGCAAGGCGGGCATGTTCAACAAGTGCAGTACTAGATTTGTGTTCAACGTAGCCCTTTCCAGGGTTATTCACATCAAACGTATCCGGGGTTGTGATGTCTTTATTTCCAATGAGAAGAGGGACCATTGCGCCAGGCATTCTCTCGCGAGTGGTCGAACTAACCGTTGTCGAAGCGGACATGGTTCAAAGATAACACAGTGGTAAGGAAACAAGACGGGGTATAGACTGATAAATAAAATCCGAGCTCTAGCCTGGATTCGTGGGTCAATTTAAATGTCGGTTTAAAAACGCAATGATTTAGTTAGATTTATGGTAGTCTTGTGAACGTGCTAGCCGGATGGTCATTGGTCCCCGGGTGCTCTGACAAAGGCGGGGGCGGGGGCGGGGGGAATGGTAATCGGAAGATCAACCGATGATTTCGGATAAAGAATCAGTCCGGATGTGATTTCGGAAGCCGCTAGCGGTGCTGCCAAGATTTGGACACGAACGCTTAGGTATTCTTCGGAAACCGATGAAACTATTATGTCATATGTGCCAAAAAGAAAGAAGGAAGGAAAAGGGGAAGCGTTACTGGGGGCTGAGTCTGCCGCACATGCCAAGAGTGGGCTCAGTGCAACTTAGGAAAGAAGTGAATGGACATGAGTCTGCCATTGTCAATACCTCATGGCGCTGATATTGACGGGAAACGCTGTCATAATATGTGCTATTCCTGTTGGCAATTCAGTTAGAAAGACCGATTCCATATACGAGCGACATAAGATGGGACCCCTTTAGCCCCTATTTGGACCCCCTCTTAACTGTCTTCAGTCTAGAAGTTAATTGTCTATGCAATCAGCTATGCCATAGTAACTGCAATATCTTGTACAGCCTAATCTCTGTGAAAATTTCAATAATTAAGCCCACCAATTTGAATTTCCAGGACGAATTATGCTTTTTGCAGTATGCGAGCATCGGAATGACTTAATATACGCGACGTACGAGGGGTTCCCTCGTGATGCTCGCTTAGCCCCTGAATAATATTATTCACAGATCGCGGAGGAGACTCGAAGCGCCTCAGCGATTTGTGATGGAGATCTCCATATTGGAGCTCTCCGCCTTCCTGCCTATATCTAGCACTCCAGCGCTCTGCGTCTCCTTCATTCCTTCATCCATTCATTCATTCCTTCATCCATTCATTCATTCCTTCATCCATTCATTCATTCCTTCATCCATTCATTCATTCCTTCATCCATTCATTCATTCATTCATTCATATCCATCCATCTTGCTCATCTCCACGTTTCCCTAGATCCCGACGCCCGTAGGCGTCATGAATTAGTTTGTTCGCAAAAGCGTACTTATTATCCTTGTATTTTAGTCACTTAGGCCTCCTTCAGTCGTATCCACTCATATATAAGAGCCCATATTAAATACGGGCTTCACATTAACTCATGCGCTGCAGTCGAACTAGCGGATTCTATACTATGCATATGCTTGCGGGGATCTGTTTGAAAATTTCAAGCTTTTATATTCCATTTGTCTACCGTGAGATGCGACTGGAGCATACAAGATTCATCTGAAGTGCCCAGTCATCGGTCCCTGGTACGTACGCCGTTGGCAGTCCTGTATGGTAGTGAGGCGGTGTTACGCCTACTTCTTCACACTGCTCTTATTAGACCACCTCGAGCTTTGTACCCTTCACTATCTGTATTGAAGAGTACTACTGCATAATCGGAGAAATGAAATTTGCCTAATCATATGTGCTAGCTCGCTATGGGAACTAGATAAGGAAAACTGACAAAGTAACATCCAGATGGCCATTCGATCTATGGTAGTAACTTGGTAAAACAAAAAGACAGCCTCAGATAGTTGGCTGGATAAGGATTTTGACATGTTGCGTTTTGTTGTCAATCAGTTCGAGGAAGCCCCCTTTGACGACATCCGTCAAAGGCACGACTGAGGTAATCATATGCTCCGCAGCGATACGTTTGTTAGACAATAGCGTCATAACTAATTCAAAATCCTCTTTGGTGTAGCAAATTCCACCTGTCAAGTTCTTTTCCGTAACACTGATGTCGTTCAAGTTCAGCAGTAGTGGTTTCTCATGAATTGCAACATTGAAGATTGCCCCGCCGGGCCTGACAGCAGCAATAGCGGTCTCAAGTGTAGATTGTAGCCCGGATGCGTCAAAAGAGATATCGACGCCTTCTTCAAGCACTTCATGAATGGCGTTTAGCACCAAATTTGATGGATTGGCACTCGACACTTTTGTTGGATCGATAACAGCATCAGCTCCAAGCTGCCGCGCTTGCTGGATCCTCAGATCAGAGACCTCACTTACGAAGATCTTACCTACCTCCATAGAGCGCAATAACATAAGTAACGCCAGCCCAATTGGACCTGCCCCAAGAATAAGTACACTTTGGCCTGCAGTAAATCCTGACTTCCTTATCATATGTGTTGCCACGGCAAGCGGCTCAGCCAACGCTGCAATCTTCAATGAAACGTTTTCTGGCACCAGGATAAGGTTCGATGGATTCACAGTGATTTGGCTTGAGAATCCACCCCCTGGGGTGTTAATTCCGTAGAATGTGGCTCGTTTACAGGTGTTGATACGCCCAGCAAGACAAGATAAACAAGGAGGTGTCCCATGCTCGAAATCCGATACTAACGGATTGACAACAACCTTCTGCCCGATAGTAAAGCCTTTCACTTGCTCTCCAAGCTCGGTAATTGTACCAGACATCTCGTGGCCCATTATTACTGGCAAAGTGGCTCCGGTGTGTTCATTTGGATTCCCTCCAGCCGGGGCAAGAATTGGACCAGCGAGATATTCATGTATGTCGGAGCCGCATATGCCACAAAATTCCACTTCGACACGTACTTGGGTTGGCGCACATTGGCTCCAGAGGGTTAGCCACGACTTTGAGGTAATTAAACATGTAAGAACTCACGGAATAGGCACTGTGTCCAGTCTAACGTCGCGTTTGCCATGCAATCTTAGCGCTTGCATGTTTATAAAAAGGAGCAGAGTACAAAAGAATTGAGAATGTTGAGGTGCATGAAAGGGTAAGGGTTTGGTATAAATGTTTTTCTTTCTCAGGACGTGCGTGACGTCGGGGAGATCCTGTAAACCTGGATGCCATAAAGCCGTGGAATTTGGAAACTGAAACATAAAACCTTCTAGTTACAATCTATTTCGAAATGAATGCGGGGAATTTCCGATATCTCCGAGCCAACCGTACTACCTCGGAACCGCTAGGAATATTTTAACAGCCATGGTTCGAGCGTCGTTGATTAACAAATATTCAAAAAGCCAAGATTCATACAAAGGCCATGTAGCAATTCCAGGAATACAGATGAATTATCAATTGCACCACCCCATCCAAATTCCCCTTTCCCTCAAAAGATCCCTTCTCTCGATGGGACATGTCTATATATCATTTTAATTCTCAAGCTTCTCCACATGCTCGATATCCGCAACACCCAATGTCATCTTCGCATTCTCTGTAGCCTCTTGGTATGACATTGACTTTCCACCATAATACTTGATTTCAAACAACTTGTCAATTTCCTCCAAAGAGAGACTAGCAGTCTCCACATAGAGGTACCAGCAGATGGGAATGAAGACGAAGTTTGTCACGGCAAAAACGAGGTAGAACTTCCACCCTATGCTTTCAATTCCTGCACATAGTATTAGAAGAAGAGAATGGAAAAAGAAAAAAAAAACGAAAGAAGAGACTGAGCGATACTGACCAACTGGGGTGACCGAAACAATGACAAACTCCAAGCCAGTTCGTGACCATTGCAATGGAACTTCCAAGGTTTCGCGTGTGGTGCGAATTGATTTCAGATGGATACATAAATGAGATCACTAGGAAAGAAAGGCCCTAGGGTTGTCAATAATAATAGGGCGAAATCACCTCTGATGACGACTCACGAAGAAAAAATAGTAGAGAAAGATGAATGCCACAGCAACACCATTCATGGCCTTTGTGCCAATACCAAGGCCGAGGGCTGCCATGGTAAAACACAGACACTGGCCCGCAGAGCCGTAAATCATCAGTCGGTGACGACCAATGCGGTCAATCACGTAGGTAGCCATCGCGCTCCAGAACATCCATTGCATAGAATCAACGGCGGAAAGAATGAGTGCCAGTCGGTCGCTGAAACCAAACGATCGCTTGAGAACGACTGGTAAATAATATGCAACAACATTAACACCCCCAAATTGTTGCATGAAGTTAGCTCCAGCCCCTAGAGCGATCCGACGGAAGGTCTGTTGGGGCCCGCCCTCGAAGACTGTCCTCCAGCTAGATTGCTCAGACTCCACTTCATGAGCAACAGTCTGTTCAATGGATTCTAAAGCCACAAGAACCTCATTGTCCGTGTCAGGCTTAGCTAATAGCAATGCAATTGCTTCTTTTGCTTTGATCGAATCCCCTTGTAGACAAAGCCAGCGAGGAGACTCAACAATCCAAGGCACGATTGCCATTGTCACGAGGGCAAGGAAAGACTGAAACCCTAGCGGGAAACGCCAGCTGACTGGATCATTCGGAATGTAAGTAAATCCAAAATTGATCCAGTTGGCAAGCACGAAGCCAAAAACAAGACAGGCCACTTGGATAGACATCAGCTTTCCTCGATCCTTTGGCTTGCAAGTCTCACTTTGCCACATTGGCACAGTTGTGGTATTCATGCCAACTCCAAACCCAGCGACAATACGGCCCACAATTAGATGAGGCAGAGTGAATGCTGTAGATTGAAGAATGCCGCCGATTACGAGGAAGGTGCACGCCAGCATGATTGATCTTTTTCGTCCAAGGCGATCCCCTCCGAACATAGCCATGAACGCGCCGATCACGCATCCAAGGACATATGAGGAAGTAATTTGGCCTTGGATTGTCGTGCTTGGATGATCAAACTGTTCTTCGAATGCTGGGCATGAGAGGATACCACCGAAAACACCTTCATCGTAACCGAACAATGCGAAGGCAACTCCACAGCTTAAAGTGATGCCGAAGGTCAGTTGACGACCTTTGGGTCGAAAAGATAGACCCATTGTGCTTGAATAGTACAGATAGGAGAGGGATTGGAAGGAAGAAAGGTTTATCGTATGTCTGTTAACTGGCTGAAGGGCAAGCGTTCTTATTCATGGCCACAATTGACGAGAAAGAGGGTCATGAGGGCAGGTCAGGTTAGGAAACCAGCGCAAAACCATAATTACATCAAACATTAAACTCAATCCAGAGTAGCATATAGCCTCCTATTCCTTTCCTTCCCATGTGTGAGGGGATTTGTGGCCTGCAATTGGTAGATGACAGGCCTCAATTTTTTGAACTTGGCTGCTGCAATCCCCAGGAGGGATGGGAATCGCGGAGAATGTGGAGGCGACGCGAAAAACCCCAGGATACCTCTTGGAATTAACTTTCAAGTTGTCCCAGAGGTCAATAGATCCCGTCGATCTCTACGCAGATCCCGCGGTTGTATGCTCAGCTGACCATTGTCATCAAGACATCGGTTGTATTGGCTCCATCGAGTGGCAACTAGGTTTTAATGATTGATGTATATGATCTTTAGACGGGAGCATCGACTGTAGTTAGTCCGCATTTTCTTGGTCAGGTCTACAGACTGCAAACCAAATGGCTCTCAACGCAATTGTCAGTGGCGCTTCGCGTGGAATGTACTTACATCAGTCTCCCCGCCCCTATTTTCTTGATAATCATCGATCTAACCAGAAACAGCGGGCGATCAATTGCCCACCGTCTTGCTCGCGAGGGCTATTCGGTCGGTATCAACGATATCCCTGAAGCCTCGGCAGATATAGATAACGTCATTTCGGAGATCAACAGTATACTGTCGTTCCAACATTCGAAGCCCCGGCCTGGTGCAGTAGCGCTGCCCGGCGATGTTTCTTCGTCTTCCGATGTTGCATCTATGGTATCTAAAGCAGTTACCAAGCTAGGGCCATTGACCCTCATGGTAGCGAATGCAGGAATCGCTCCTGTGACTCCACTCCTTCTCTCATCTACCGAGGAGGTGGATAGGATTTTGGGGATAAATGTTCGTGGGGTATTTAATTGCTACACTGAAGCCGCAAAACAAATGATCTCCCAAGGTGACATCGCTCTTGGTGCGGGGATTACGCGTTATAAGCTTGTTGGGGCAGCTTCCATAGCGGCATTCAGAGCTTTCCCCGGCTGTGGGATCTATTCTGCGAGCAAATTTGCCGTGCGGGGCTTGACCCAAGCCACAGCTGCCGAGATGGCCCGACATAATATCACAGTCAATGCCTATGCTCCGGGTATTGTGGGAACGCCAATGTGGGACGAAGTTGATGAAGGTATTGGTGAGATTGAGGGACGCCCTAAGGGAAAGACCCTCGAGGCATATAGCAAAGGTATTCCTCTTGGACGAGCAGGCGTTCCAGAGGATGTTGCTGGGCTCGTGGGTGGGTTCTTAGCGAGCAAGGATTCGGATTATGTTACCGGTCAAACGATGCTTGTTGATGGAGGCATTGTCTTCAATTGACATGATGGCCTTAGTTGACTGTATATACCATAGAGTGAGATCTTATGGAGATCTTCTTCTGAATATCTATATCTTCTGGCTACGTCTAGCACTTCATGCCCAGCATATGTTTCTCTGCTTCGTCATATATCCTCTTTCTTCGGTCGATTGATCCATGTTCCAGATGTCACGGAGACCCTTAATTCATTGATCGGAGGGAGAAATATTCTTTTAGATCCTTTGGCGAGCCCAATATTAGAAACTCTTATGATGCACATAAAATGTATATTACATCTAGAAGTAGCAAAGCGAACATGTAGAGAAAAGAAGCGGAAAAGATACGGCGTGCTAGCACATGGAGAGCGACGGCAAATTTGAGCAAACGAAGCCTGAGAGCGCAAGAAAGAGCAGACAGAAAGGTTGAACATATGGATAGTGTGGCTAGCATATTATATTGTAGATTTTGTAGCTTTGCCAGTATGGTTCCTATTGGATGAGATTATCCGTGTGAACTTTTACCTGAAAGTTTGATCAATATCATTTTTGTTTATCTACCAGGTACGAAAATAATCTTTTGAGATCTCATGTGGTCGAAATCGTCAAAGCTGAAAAAGACCGTAAGTGTAAAGCCTTGAAATGTGGTTTGGTTACATTACCTCTTAGGTGCCTCTGAGAGTGGGCGAATGTCTGCCGCCATGAAGCTGCGATCACATTAGCACTTTCTTCCACTCATGAGTTAATTCAAACTTACTCAAATCGATCTTGGTACTCGCGAAAGGATTTGAGGGCATTTGGGAAAATACCTGCAGTTATAAGCGTCAGTATCGGGTCAACTTTTGGTCAATGTTCAAGAGGAACCAACTCCGAGCAGGACATCTCCCTGTCTCCATGGTCAAGTTCTTCGAATAGGCCTCGAACCCAGACCATGGAACCGCCTCATTGTGTACACCAACGCTCGAAAGCCGACCAAATGGTCTAAGAATATCAAATCCTGCTCTGAGCGCATCGGCGTGTCCGACTACCTCGATGACAATATCAGCTCCTCTGGAATCAGTGAGCTTCTTTACTCTCTCCCTGAGAGCCTCCTCGTCTTTTATATTCCATGCTTCCGCTCCGAAATCTTTTGCTTTCTCCAGGCGAGAATCAACTTTGTCAACAGCTATTAAATTTTTAGGCTTATAGGACTGCGCATTTGCCAATGCAAACAGACCAACTGGGCCACATCCAAGGAGGACTACAGTGCTTGATTCAATTTCTTCTTGTGGTATTCCCTTGAATGCATTGTAGGCGGCAAAGTACCCCGTAGGAAAGATATCAGCCATAAAGACTAGCTTAGCCTTGTCGATACCATCTGGAACGGGAGCCAGCGTCGCGTCTGCATTTGGTACACGGACAAATTCAGCATGTCCGCCGTCAAGTACAGGCGATCCAAAGAGTTTTGACTCGATACAGCGCGAACTCATAGAGCGATTGCAGTAGAAGCAATTCCCGCAACTGGTGGTAAACGCAGCAATTGCATGATCCCCTTTTTTGAAGTTCCTCATGGCTGATCCTGTCTCATAGATCTCACCCATGAACTCGTGGCCCATGATGAAGCCTGGGCCCGATGGTTGGTGGCCGCGATAAACATGGAGCTCACTCAACTCGGTATTAGTTCAAATGTTACATGAAGTCTTCTGGAAATGAAACTCACCTGCCACATAATGCGGTATAGTGAACTTTGACTATTGCATCGCTTGGACTTTCGATTTTGGGGACTGGCCGCTCCTCAATCGCCACTTGAAAGGGACCTTTGAAGACAACAGATTGCATTTTCTTTGGTGAAGTAGAGCCAGATTGGTGTTCTCCATACTCATAATTTAAGTATTAAATGGCATTTTATACATGAGCTTTCCAAAACGCTGATATAACCTACTGCAAATTGCCGTGGGCCTGTCTGCCGTTTTCCATGCAGCCACGGTTGAAGGTAGGGTGGGGCCTAGCTCGGCAAAAAGACCGTATAATGTACCCAGGCACCTTTATCGTATTGTATGACGAAAGGTGTTGGATAATGATATCATCCTTCCTCCATGGGGGATTAGGGCATCTAGTAGGAAAAGGATGCTGCCAGGGGGGAGGAAGAAGGCGGAGCAACTCGAGTCGTGTCAAGTCTGGTCTATGCCAGCAAGGCTAGTTGAATTCGGATTTTTTCGTACCCTTCTAAACCATGGGGAGCAATAGGCATGTAGATTGAAATCTCGCTGAGTTGAAAATGCGAAGCCCGCGACCAATGTGACCCTCAAGTTTTGCATTTGGCTGGCATTCATATCTATCCACAGTACCCTAAATCAAATTTATTGGACGATATGAAGCTTCTTGTGTGTGATAAAGATTGATTTAGAATCCACAGACAGAGCGATATTGTGAAACTGTGCTTGAATGAACGTCTTGCATTGAGAGAAAATAACTGTCTTCTAGTACAGCAAGGAGACTGCTATTCCTGGAGATTGCCAATAGTGACGCATTTGATGTTTTGATACTCCTGCAGCCCATATTTCCTCCCTTCACGGCCCATTCCACTTTCCTTAACACCACCGAATGGTGATTCGGCAGCGCTGATAAGGCCGGTGTTCACACCGACCATTCCGCAATGAAGCTTACGAGCAACTCTCATTACACGTCCAATGTTCTCGCTGAAGAAATATCCAGCGAGACCATAGTTGGTGGCATTGGCCAGCTCCAACGCTTCTGTCTCGCTGTTGAAACTGAAGATCGCTGCGAGTGGCCCAAATGTTTCATCGTGGGCAACTTCCATTTTAGTCGTGGCTTCACTTATGACAGTTGGCTCGTAAAAAAAGCCATTCAGATGGGCCTGTTCTTTTCCACCAGCATGCAGAACTCCTCCTTTAGACAAAGCATCTTGGACATGCTCTGATACCTTCTTGACTGCAGCAGCATTTACCAATGGTCCTTGGGTTGTGCCTCCTTCTATCCCTCTGCCGAGTTTGAGAGCATTTACCCTGTCAACTAAGGCTTCAATAAAACGATCCTTGATATCGAGGTGTACAAGGATACGGTTGGCACACTTGAAACTGGTCAGTGGGCGTTCAAGCAGAAGTACTCATGGTACTTACAACACAGGTTTGACCCGAAGATCTAAATTTGCAAACCATTACACCAGCGACAGCTTTGCTGATATCGGCGTCCTCCAAGATAATTAGTGGAGCATTCCCTCCAAGTTCCATGCTCACACGCTTCATGGTACCAGCAGCCAATCGTGTCAACATCTTTCCAACGCCCGTAGAGCCTGTGAAACTCAGCTTGTTTACCTTCTCGTTGATAGCCAATTCAGAGGCAGCCTCTCGGTCCGTAGTTGGTACAACATGGAAGCAATCCGGGGGAATACCAGCCTTAATAGCCAGCTTACACAAGGCAAGAGCTGAAAATGGTGTCTCCCGAGGGGGTTTTATGACAACGGAGCATCCTGCTGCCAAAGCCGGCGCGATTTTACGGGTAATCATTGCAGCTGGGAAGTTCCATGGCGTAATAATACCACACACGCCCACGGGTTCCTTGAAAGTAAAGACTTCTGTATTAGCGTACGAAGATGGGATTGCGTCTCCATAGGATCGAGGCGCCTCTTCAGCAAACCAAGACACAAACGAGGCAGCGTAATTAACCTCCCCTGAAGCTTCCGCAAGCGTTTTACCATTCTCAAGTGACAAAATCATTGCAACTTTACAACTGTTAACAGAGAGCTCCAGGCTGCGTTCAGGGCGGTCAAAAGGGGACTAGGCTCTTACGGTCGTCCGAATTGGCGATGATCAAACGAAAGAACTCTTTCAAAATGAGACCCCGCTGTTTCGCTGAAGTGTTGCTCGAGAAATTGGCGAACCCCGTTACGGCAAGGTTAATTGCCTCGATGATATCGTTCTTCGATAAATCTGCGCAGTTTGCTAGAACCTCTTTGCTCGATGGCTCACTAATTGCGAAAGTTTTCCCATCGGTGCCCTTTCTCTCTTCGCCATTGATAATTCCATAGTTGACAAAGATACTTGGGTCCTTGAGGCTCTTGGTAAGGAAAGAACTTAGATCTTCCGTCTTTGTCGGCATATTTGTTAAGGGATGTTGTCACCGGATATTGAGTTAATGGCGGGCTTTGTAAGCTCTCTTCTGCAAAATATGTATATCCCTGAGAGAACTTTCTCTTGCCATTTAATTAAACCATCTTGTCTATCCGAAGCTTAGATGAGTGACAAGAAGACAATGCGGCTAGATGATATGACGATTGCGACGAAAGCCGTTCGGGTAAGATTGAGCCGCGGTTATATATTTCTCCTAGCCCCGCATGTACATTTTCTGGACAGGCAATGCGCCCGACCCTAAATTGGGAAAATATTAAGCCAAAGAAAATTTTCGAACTCCCATCCCAGTACAACTTGTTCGTTCAACCATGTCGGTCCTACATATCGTCCAATTTCAATTCAAGTCCTCAGTGAGCGAGGCTACGATTCAAGATGTACGGAACGTCTTCTCAGAGACTAGTTAAATTCTAATGGACTATAGACCTGCAATCGTATGCTATCCCTGAAAGACAGTTGTATCCATCCTGACACAAAAGCGCCATACATTGTGTCGTCGAAAGGTGGTCGAGAATGCTCGATAGAGGGCATGCAGGTGCGAGTTAATCTTCTTTCCGTTGTCAAATATTCTCTTAGCTGATCACAATTCAGGATGGCATCACTCATGTTTTCGTCGTTGAGTTCGAGTCAACCGCCCACCGGGACTACTATGCTAAGGAAGATGCTGGCCATCTCGCGTTCGGGGCATCACTTGGACCCCTTCTGGACAAAGCGCAGGTTGTCGACTTTGAACCAGGTAAATTTACCAAGCAGTAGACTGGATATTTTACTATACTTTTAAAGTTCTGGCATCATATATTCCGGGAACAAATGTTATTCACTGTTGCATTGCCATGAAATGATCGTGCTCTTAAAGGCAGAGAACACTTGGTAGAAAGAAGCTTTCATACAACTTTCAATGAACAGTTCAAGAAAGATGAACTGGATAGAAACCATCCGATCGTGAGAAATTTATTTATGAATTGTCAGAACGTAATACTGTTTATTGTGAAAGCTACTGGTGAAACCTCTAGTGCGTTCAACATCAAGGCTGAATTTCCGAATAAGTCAGATCAAGCATTGTTGTAGTATTCTTCCGTAAAAGTCACGCTCCGTCAAAAAGCACGCGACACTGCCCATGGGTATGACGGCTATATGATATTGAAGTCTTTCACAGTCTTTTACCGAGTCACATTCATAGAACCATATGGATATCAAATACTCAGTCTATTTGATGTCGCCTTCTGCTACTTCTGTTCGAACAACTACAGATCTTCACGCTTCTAAATAGCAAAAATGAGCAACATCGACTTGAATTTGTCTCACCTCGATGAGCTCAACAGAACAACAGCAATCGTCACTGGCGCAGCCGGTGGTATAGGTGGCGAGATAGTGCGACTTTTGGTTGCTAATGGCTCCAATGTCGTGATGGCAGACTTGGCTCATTGCGAAAATGACGCTAATTCCCTCATCGCCTCACTTCCACATCCGACTCGGGCACATTTCGTGCCGACCAATATCACGAAATGGGATCAGATCACCACCCTCTTTCGAACAGCGAAAGATAAATTTGGCAGCGTTGAGGTTGTAATCGCCAACGCAGGCGTCATGGAGAAAAGCCCTATACTTGATGTAGAGAAGGTTGACCAGCACGGCAACTTGGCAGAGGACAATGAATTCTCCAAGGTCATCGATATAAATATCAAGGGAACAATGAATAGTAGGTAGTCGCGTGAGGAGATATAGCACCGATGCAGTGAATGCTTACTCACTCGGGCACCAGCACTCCGGCAAGCGATATTCCATATGAAGGATAACAAGCCCACTTTCTCTGACGGCTCTCGGGGATCGATACTTCTTGTTTCCTCGACATCAGGATACTTTGGGGGTACTGGTGTCACTGGTTACATTACTTCGAAACATGGCGTAACTGGTATGTTACGCGGCTCGCAGCTGGCAGCAAGCAAGCACCTCCTTCGAATCAATGCCGTAGCCCCATTTGTCACACCAACGGCCATGTCTTCTGGGTTTGCCACAGCTTGGAAAAAAAGTGGCCTGCCCATGAACACGATGGAGGCTGTTGCTCGGGTCATTGCTGTATTAGCCGCGGATCCCTTGCGCCGCGGCTCTTGCTATTTGGTATGCATCGCCTGATTAACTGAGACCATTTGCCACCTTCGTTCGAACTGATATTCTTTAGACTTGTGGACCGATTATACGAGAAGTGGAGACTAGCCAGAAAAGCCTAATGGGGGAATGGCTCGGTAATGACTTCGTGGAATTGATGGCGTCGGCCAGCCGCTTTTTTGCAGACCAAGGCGGCTATACTTTGCCTAAGCTAATCGCCTTGGATAGTTCAGACACCACTGGAGACCGAGCTAAATGATGTTTCCAAGTGACTGAAGCGATGAAAGTTGTGTATTCAGGGACATTTTGACCCGCATAAAGCCACGGCTATGGCAACATGTAACTACGGGGTGCCAAGAAATAAGATACACTCAAACATGGCAACACTAAACGTATTCAGTCGACAATAAATCTATCTCTACCTAATTTCGTCTTCCGTACAGCCCTGAAGGGAATTTTTACTGCCATTCACATACATAGCAACTCTCAAATCACTGTTTCTTGCACACATCGGTGTTAACGTCTACGAAATGCCCAAGGCAAAATTCTATGCAAGATGTCATATATGTGAAGAGGAAGGATCGTGGTGTGATCTTCCGCTGGTTGGGTTCCCTTGCACTGCCTGCCGATTCTCCAAAACAAAATGCTCTGCGCGTGGCAAGAAGCCATTGGTGTGCGTAAGTGTACATCCATTACATGACGACCTGTGCTAAGTCTTTTTCTCTAACGTTTTTCCGAAGAGTGAAAAAGCTCCGAAGAACCGGTTGAGTCGATCTATATCAGCTTCTAGTAAGTGGATTGAAAGCAATGAGTTGTTATCCATATATGAATGACTTACAATTCCACTAGGCGAAGTCCAAACGCCCTCTATAGTCTATCCGCTTTCGAATCCTAATGTGAAAAACTTTGGGGGAATGGCCCATAATCCTAGCGTGGATTTGACCGGTCCACTAGATAACCTCGTAACTGAGCTCAATGATTTATTTGGACCAGGACCACGCTTTGCCTCGAGCCCTCGATATCTACCATTTATTCAAGAGTTACCTGCCCACATCCCGACCGAGAAGATTCAATTTCTGCAAGCAAAAGGGGCCTTCGAGGTTCCAGATCAAGCATTTGCTACAGAGCTTATTCGGTCTTTTATCGACAACGTCTATCCATTTCTTCCTGTCATTGATCTAGAGGCCTTTTTGACAGCCTTTTGTTATAACGGCACCTTCGGGAAAACAAGCTTGCTCTTATTTCACGCGGTTATGTTTTCTTCTGCGGCGTTTGTGGATTATGAGCACCTCCGCAGAGCGGGTTATCGGTCGCGCAAAGAAATACGAGAGGATTTATTCCTCAAGACAAGAGTACGTGCTTCCTCGGTTTTAATATCCATTTTCTTCCTTCTTACTATCAAAAATAGGCCCTATATGACTTTGACTATGAGAATGATCGCTTTGTTCTTATCCAGGCTTTGCTTTTGATGAGCTACTGGCATGAAACCCCAGATAGCCCAAAAAACTGCCAGTATTGGCTCCACATATGCTGTTCTTTCTCGAGCTCAATCGGTCTCCAAGATCCAATAAAACAGGAAATGGATTTCGATCATGGCAAGATCAGAAACGCGTCTGGTGGTGCTTATACACGCGCATCCATTTGATCGCCCTCAATCTTCGAAGGCCAATAGGCTTTCAAGAGAACAACTTTGAACTTCTTCCATTAGTTGACTTTGAAGATTTTGAGATTCGCGAGTATCCGGACAAAGTCAGAAACACATTCAAGGGATGTGAATTTCTCTGGAATGTGAGCTTCCAGGAATATTTGGCTTCGACATTTATCGAGAAAGCAAAACTTTCACTTCTCATCTCAGATGTCACAGCATTACGCGACTTCCATAATCGAGGATCTCTTTTCTTTGAAAACTTTCAGGGGGATGAACCAACTTATGAATGGAAGGAAAAGTTCAAGAAGACACTTGAAAAACTTCACGAATGGCGCGCGAGCACACCAAGCGACTTTGAGCCTCCAATTCTGTCGAACGACTCTCATATGCAAAGCAACATGCCTCATGTACACGTACTATGGGTGCGGATAGTCTTTCTTGCTACGCTGGCCACACTTCATCGACAAGATGAAGATATCAGCCCTCCAGTCGAAAAAGGGCCAGAGCGACGCTCACGACAGATTCTGAGCGAGATGTCAACCACTATGCAAGATCTTCATCGCTGTGGTCTTATCAAACTCCTTCCAACCACGATAGTGGCTTTGATGGTCCCGGTTTTGGCAATGCACTACGAAGACATACGGTCGGGGTATTGCAGTGTGCAAATTATCGGCTTCCAAAATTTTTACAGGTGCTTGACCATGCTGGGGTCTCTTGGAGACACGTATTCGTCTGCGAATGCGGCCCTTTACTTCTTTGAAAACGCACTGGACCATACGTGGAGTTGCCACAGCCCTGAGAAAATTCCAACATTTATTCAAGATCTACTTACGCAAAGAGAGCTGGAGTATCTTGCTCGAGTCTCGGATCATCAAGAATGGGCATTGGCAGCTAATGCATCACCGTGTTCATCGAGTTCACCTCAAGAGCCTTTATTTGGCGTTACTGTTGACAAGTCAGATAATCTTTGGTGACTCTTTGCATAGATTTGTTTTGAAACCGTAGGATTCGTCATTAACCTCAAATCGGCGTTCCTGGGGATAAATGTATTATTACTCGCATCATAATGGAGAATCCCACGTTAAACGCGACATCTAAATCTGAAATTCTGGCCACTCGTCTGTTGCGGGAGGCAGGAAGTTAGGCATCAGCAGGTAATCCTCCAGCCTTTCTGACAAGTGGGAATGAAGGACATCATAATTTAGACCTAGGGATTTTTCGGGATGAGGATCGTCAATTCCAGAATGCCTGCCCGCCATTGCATGTGTATTGAGATTGTCGATATTGCTAGACGATGTCACGTCGGGGTTACTCTGGTGATTTTCTTCCATACGTGGCGCGGCATTCTTTCGGTATGCACATAGAAAATCGAATATCTGCATTGCCCAGCTTCCTGGATCCCATAGCTCCTTCGCCTCGTTTAGAATAATTCGGCAATTATCCAGATTCGCGCGCGCCATTTCAGCGACGATGTCCTCTGATTGCCGCATCTGTCGATAAAGTACGATTCCAGAGACAAAAAATGCCGGGAAGAGCTCGTGTGGGAGCTCACAAACCTTGGTTTTGGTGACGAGGGTAATCGCGTGGGAGGCGATTGCCCGGGCGCGTGATTGGACAAAGCCATCTGATGTCTGACTTGATCCATATCGGTCGGAAGTCTCAGTGATTGGCTTTTTGATGTATAATAGAAGCAGGTAGTAGTTGTAAAGAATATCCAAAGCAGTCGAGCATATAAAGGGAGGGCCTCGATAAGGCCAGTTCTGTAGAGAGTGTTGTAGCTCACAATGCCACGCTTCAATTTCCGAATGCACTGTTTGCGGCGTGATTGAGCCATTCTCTAGTCCGACGCGAGAGTGAAGTATTCGACGTAAGATGAGGGATAACCTAGCAATTTGTATTTGATAGAAACCTTCTTCCATGGATTCATTGACAAAATCATCCATCGTCAACATATCAGTATCGCAGTGGGTCAGATTGATGCGAAATGGCCTTCCTAGTAGTACAGAACAATATGTATCTCGCACTACTAGCGACCACCAAAGCTTTTTTAACAAGCCCCTGTTATTTCGCTGGGCATCAGCGCAGACAGAGGCGCGGTGTGTTCCCAGTGAGACAGCAAAGGTAACACTGAAACCGATCCAGGAACAAGGATTCCAGTAACTGTGTGTTTGTGGGCCCCAGAAGCTCAACATTATAGCACACTGGGCGATTATGATTTTACTTGTCTCATACCCGAAGTCAAAAATCAGTTTTGCCCTGTCGTAAAACTTGCGTCGAGCTTCGAGTCGTGATTTGAATTCAGAGAGATGAATAACGGATGCATCACAGAATGTCGCTCCTATGAAACAGACTGTATGGAGCATCAGCCAGGGTAGCTTTTTCTCCTTGTGTACTTTCTCCAGCTCAATTCTATCAACGATTGAGTACAATGCGTGGAACTTCTTCAAGTACACGTCGACCAAATCGTGCATCAGGCGCTCGGAGGGCAGAGCGAATGCGCCTTTGGCTTTAAGATAGGTGATGTCCACGGCATCGAGATGTGAAGGGTGACAGTCGTCGCGAACGACCGCCAGGTTCGAGCTGTTTCGGATTTGGTCACTGGCGTCGTGTAAAGGTGGAGTTACCCCATTGGGATACTCCTCGAGAGCAAAAGTCAGGGGCGATGGCTCGGCTAACATGATGAGCCCACACTGGGAAATTTGCCTCTCTGTTCGCCAATTGAGGAAGTCTTCAAACATTCCGGAGACGGACTGTCTGGCGGAGGCAGATGGACGGATACTCTCAGGCCCCAGAGGAGGGAGAGATTCCGTCGGATTGCTATGGATGGACTGAAGTTCAGAAGGAGTGGTTTCTGAAATCAGATCTTGATCGCCATCTTGAGAGCTGGTCGTAGTGATTGATTCGGCGTTCTGGCTGTGCCTATTGTCTGCCGCTGCCGGTGGCTGTGGCGCGCCCAAGGCCAGACCAGCACTATGCTGATGGCGTAACTGCCGGGCAGTTCTCCGATCGTAGGTTCCACGGCGTGATACGATGAGTTCACACTCTTCGACGCTGTCCATGCGACAGCGGCTGCATGGGGTTCCATTCTGTACGACGTCGCATTTGATTTTTCGCTGCCTGCATCGCTTGCAGGCCTTAGCCGCGCGGATCCGAGGCTTTCCAGGATTCATGGCGCAACACAAAGCCCCTAAAGGGCGTGAAACTCGACAAGGCCACAAGAGGTATACAAGATAATAAGAGGCGATAGAAGCCCTCGAGATCCAGGCATCTGAGATGATGTCGCGGGGGCGTCGAAGAATCCGGGGAAGCAGGAGTTCAACCCCACTCGGTTGTCCAGTACGTAAGCAGCCATTCCCCAACCCCGGATTGTTGGCAGGGCTGATTGTTGATTGTGAGCCAGTGAGACTCGATATGACATACATTTGCTTGATGCGGGGGGCGGGGGGCAGGTCATATAGACGCGGTTATTTGTGTCGAGCTCCTACATGGTCGATCTCTACGTGGTCGATCTCTACGTGGTCATTCGGAGATTTCTAGCAGCACTGCTCCTTGGCTGTTTTGGCAATTACACGAGCATACGACATAGAGATTGCAAATAATTTGTCTATCAGAAAGGTTTGAACCCCCTGTTGCCATTCTCCACCAGCTCCTGCAACGCCTTGCGATAGTTTGCCAAGCCGCCAAAGTAGAACAGCACCGATGTCTTCTTTCCAGCCACATTTGCCCCAAAAATCCATGAATCGGTTTTGCGGAACAAACTCTCTGCACTTAAGTCGTCACACTGCTTGCACCAGTCTTTGGTTGCTGTGGGCTCGGCTTCCACGATCGCTTGGTTCTTCTTTATAGTGCCACTTTGGTTTGCCTTTTCGATCATGTCGCTGATGAACTCAACTTGGGTCTCGATTGTGGGGGGTATATTCGTGAATGGACTATTCGGACCCAGCACCATGAAGAAATTGGGAAACTCTGGGACGGATATGCCCAAATAGGACTCTGGTGCCTCCTTCCAGGCGTCTCCTAGGGTCTTCTGGTTTGCGCCGACAATGCTCAGCTTCTTGTAACTCCCATCCACAGCGTCAAATCCCGTGGCAAAGATTAATGCATCCAACTCGAATTCAGTGCCGTCTTGAGTGCGAATTCCCGTAGGCGTGATTTCACTAATGGGATTCGATTTGATGTCGACCACGTCGACGTTTGGCTTGTTAAACTTCTCGTAGTAGCCTGTGTCACACAGAGGCCGACGTGCAAACCAATCCCGTGGCATGAGCTTATTTGCCTTCACGGGGTCCTTTACTTTCTGGGCAATCTTCCCCCTAATAAAGTCTTGAGCTGCCCGGTTGGCATCCTCGTTATACGAAATATCGCAAAATGTGCCGAACATGAAGTAGAAGCCACTGCCGTACTGCCATGCCTTTTCGAATATCTGTTCGCGCTCCTCATCGCTGACACTGAATGTTGGAACAGTGCTCTCTTTGAATCCGAACGCAAATGTGCTATTCTTTGCTTTACTCCAAATGGAGTCCCAATTGTCATCAATCTCGCGGCGAGTCTCTGGTGAGATCTCTTTGTCGCCTGCGGGTACGACATACTGTGGGTGCCTTTGGAAAGAAGTCAGGTGTTTGACATGGTCTGCCAGAGCCGTGATGACTTGGACCCCCGTCGATCCATTTCCAATCACTCCCACTCTCTTGTTCTGGAAGTCATAAGTGGCAGGCCATCTCGATGTGTGGTACGTCTCGCCCTTGAAGGAGTTCAAGCCGGCAATGTCTGGGTAGTTCTGTTTTGACAGAATACCAACGGCACTGACGACATAGCGAGCCTTGAGTTTCTCGCCTGTAGAAAGTGAAACCGTCCATGTAGATTGGTCGCCATTCCATGTCGTCGCTTCCATTGCTGTGTTGAAGACCATATATTGACGTAGATTGTGTCGCTTAACCACGTGCTGCAGGTAGGTCAAGACTTCTGGCCCCTTCAGATATTCGCGGCCCCAAGGGTATTCGCGAAGGTCCTCGAGATCCCACGAGTATCGGTAAAGGATAGATCGCGTGCTATGAAAGTGAGCTGATACTCTTCAAAGGGACTTTTTGGGCTCTCATACTCTGACATTGCGCCTGGGTATCGATTCCAATACCAGGTACCACCGACATCAGGGGCTGCTTCGATCACCTTTACTGTCAGGCCCTGGTCTATGAGCTTCTTGCACATATAGATGCCCGCAAAGCCAGCCCCCACCACAATAGCGTCATAGTCAAAAGAAGTCATTGTAGTTGGAAGTTTGTTTACTAGGATTCGGAGAGCGAAATTGGCTTTCCATTTAACCAAAGAGTCGCTGCGTTTTGTGTATGTGTCGAGGGCGGGCACCCATTACGATAACGACTGGTTTTGCTATAAACTTTTCACTAATGTGGATCCCGAAGATGACTTCTCCCCCATATTCCAGGCCACTATAGCCATGGCTATTTGGCGTTTTGAATCTGGAGTTGCGGGGTTTGTGGGGTTGTTCAACCCTGGAAGAGAACATGTAGCCGCGGTATGCCAAAGATCGTCAGCCCGTCATCTCTTATACCCGAGAGCCTTGGCAACACGAACCACGATCCAGTAACAGGCCTAGGTGAGGTTAGAGGTTGCAGCAGGACATGGCTCCCGTGGCTCTATGTTACAAGAATAATTCAAATATCAAAGCTAGCCTCGGCAGGAAGAGACATGATCCAATGTATCTATTGTTTAGTCATCGTATCGATTAAGACATTGTACTCAGTGTTTGAACGTAGATTTCTTCTGGAATCGGCCATATCATCAATAATTCCCCATTTAGTCATCGAAAGAACGCTTCAAGGTGACTGTCTGTTGGAAGGAAAAGAAGGGTACAATCAAACCATGTCCCTGTTATAGAAAGCAGATCCACCGACACGTCCATTCAAGCTTCCCCTATGGCTATCTATTATCGGTTTGAGCCATCCTCACATTGAAATAGAATCCAAATAAATCAGTTACTATTACGTCAAAGCCTTTGATCACAGTAGCAGTTATATTCGTTGTTCCCAATTCAGTAAACGCTTCCTAACTGAGATACACCTACTAGCCCGGTGGCAGTGATGTGCTATGGGTAGACTGCGGCACAATCCATGGATATTGTGGAGATCCATATCCATATCCGCAAATTTGTGGATATGGATATATTTTGATGTCCAAGATCCACAAGCTGTTGGATATGTGTATAACTTAGATATCCATGGATATTTTGTGGATATCCATTGGATATAAAACAATACAAATATGCCAAGCCTTGTGACCTTCCTCAGTATGCATTATTTTTATGCTTCTCTCAGTATTTTTGCTGTACTAGCTATGTAATTCTTTATTCACATCTGTATAGTATAATTCTTTGATAATAATTCTTCTTTGTTCTTTGCTCGGCAGGAATAGTTTCTTTCTTATTATTACTTCTCAATTCTTAGACTAAATCACAGTACTAAAGAAGCTCAAACCCGTCTGGCAGTCTTGGCTGCTTCCGAGCTCGCCCCGGTCGCATCTGGGAGGATTCTATTGATACATCTGGGGCGCCATCGTCTTCTTGCTCACCAAGATCATCAGATGACCGCTTTCTTGATTGTCTTCCCTTTCCCCGCCTATGTTGCTCAGTATTATCCAAATCATCTTCCCCAGCACCCTGTATACACTGCTGTATATCCTCTACCCCAGGATCTTCATCCTCCTTATTGTCACTAATTGGTTCCAATATTTCAAGCGGAGGCGATGGTTTACGGGCTTGATCCATCAGTGCAGCCTCACTGTCGGAGAGATATTCTTTGATAGCATCCAGCTCCTCCTGCTTAAGATCGAAATTGGTAGCAAACTGATGAAGCATAAGCGCTCGGACTGTACTTGGTTTCAGCTGACCACGGCGATAATGGCAGATATCGCGGGCACAATTAAACAATCGCTCAACACCAGCACCGCTAGCAGGAATCGACAGGATATCGCGTGCCATATTTGCCAGGATAGGAAAATCACTCTCATGCTCTTTCCAATATACTCGAGGTTTTTGCCTCTCGATACCGCGGGCAAGATATCTGGCAATCTCATCATCCTGGGGCAGTATTGTTTCTTCAGGTATTTGATTCTGAGAGGCACAGATAGCATCCAAATCGTAGTCACTATCATCAGCAGACTCTCCGGATGGATCCTCCAAAGCAGTACTCTCAAGACCCTCATAGAGTCTAGCCTTATACCGGTCGAACTCGTGTTTTAAAACTTCATGGTAGTGTTTAACATAGTCAATATCCCCTTGCCAATCAGAGGAAGAGAAGTACCGGAGTTTTTTGGATGGGCAAAGAATTGTAGCAAATGCGTAGATATCCCCGTATGGCTCGTAATCGGTAGCAGTGTAGTACTTTGACAGTTTGGTTTTGGCGGTCGGTAGAGCCTGGAGCATATGCCTTTTCCAGATAACACCTTTATTTTTCAGCTTTGACTCTGCTGTATCGAGATGGGAGAAGAGTTTGTTGTAAATACTAAAGATATTGTGTACAGTGATATCTTTAGTCTGTGACAGTACAGTTGTAAAGTCGAAAAAGGGTTTTGTGAGGAGAAGAAGATAGTCCACCTGTCGCCATTCTTCCTGATCAAGCTTGAAATGAAGATACTGATGGTCTATACAGTACTGATCGTAGAATCGTTGTAGTCGCTTAGCACGGTTAAGCATCAGGAAGGTTGAATTCCACCGGGTTTGAACATCTTGGATAGGAATCAAAGGAGTGTCTGTAGTCTGTAAGGCCATAAATGCCTCCCGACGCCGAGGACTTGCATTAATAAAAACCGCAAGACCTCGAATCTTTCACAGGTTAGAAAACGATCTGGTAGATAAAGATTCGGCCGAAAAACAAGCATAGCTAATCTTTCCGCTGAAAAGACGTACCTTTCTTAGAGTCTCGGTGATCTGAACATGATTGCTGGATCGTTTGCTCTGAAAGGATTGTGTTCTTTCATCCGACCACTCCAAATCAATCTGTTTATTGGACGGGGCTGCCTTAAGCTTTCCAAGAAGCTCTGTTAAGCTAAGCTGGATCACATGTACAGTACATGGGACCCGGAAGATTAAAGGATCAGACCGTCGGCTGCACTGTGCTTGGAGAGTATCTTGGACACCAGTCATCAATGTATTGTTATTTGTTGCATTGTCAGTTGTGACTGACAGTACCCGGTCGGAGATCCCATGATCGGCAAGTAGCTGAGTGACAGTTTTACTGAGATTCTCTCCGGTGTGGGATCCATGAAGATGCTCGAATCCAAGCAGAACCTCACAGTAGTTCCATTTTTGATCAAGAAAATATCCGGTAACAGCCATAAATGCCTGCTGGAATGGTGATGTCCAGCAATCGAGTGCAATTGACAAACGGCTTCCATTAGGTAGCTTTGCAAGGGTCTGTTTCTGATTCTCGGAGACAACCAAGTCTAGGCAACGTCGAATTGTCCGTGCAGATGGAACAGTAATCTTGGTTGAAGCTTGTTGAATAATGTCGAACAAATTGCGGAACTGGGGATGTTCAATTAAACGAAAGGGTAGATGGGCAGTAGTGATAAAGCTAAGTATAGCCTTCGAGAGTTGATCTTGGGAAAAGGATTGTTTTGCTGGGCCACTAGGCTATACAATAGTAGTGTTAGTATTAATATAGATACAAAATAGGAGTAACATACCATTTCCTTTACAAGTTGATCAATACCTTTCTTTGGGGTCGGTTTTCGGGGACAAGTACTTGTCTTTAGATGCGCATTCATAGGTGATGACCCTGCTCGACGGAAGCGTGGATGACCGATGGTACAGAGACATGATTTACACATTACCCTAGGCTTCCCACTTTTCTCGTGTGCAACTTGTTGGAAGCTATCCCAGACATCGGAAGTTGCTTTTCCTTCCCAGTGAATTTCTTTTCTTGTCTGAGGTTGCGATCCGAACTCAGTAGTAAGCCACCAGTCTACAAACTTCTTTCGAGTTTCTTCCATATTGCCGTAGCTAGAGTCAGAAGGATATGGGATCCAGTGCTTTTGTAGATAAGGACCAAGACGGATAAGAGATGTTGGTGCAACTGGAGTTTGGGTTTGCGAAAAAGATGTCAATGGGGTTTGGCTGCCGATAAAGTCGGAAATATTATCTGGATAGGAAGGGTCGGAGGTGAAATTCAGACCTATATCTGAATCAATACAGGAGTCCTGGGATTGAGATATCTGTGAGTAAGCCATATTTCAATTGATTGTGAATTACCTTGCAGTAGATCATAGCATAGAAGTAAAAGAGAAGACTACTTACAGAATAGAACAGAACAGATTTTCAGGGGTCTGGCAAACAGAACACGACATCGCAATGCCCTGAAACGAAGGAACGTAGTGAAAGGGTATACTACCCTGCGCGACCTGCCCGTGAAACTTTGCTGTGCTCCCACTATCAAACTTGTTGCAGATCTCGACGCTGGTTCGTCCGCTTCCCTGCCAAGAATCGCTCTCATTGGTCTCCCATCTGCCTTCTTTGGCTTCGCGCTTCTCTTTTGTAACTTTGTCACTCCTCTTTGTCAGGGGATCCTGGTCTCTGACCGTTTTGCATAGCCTTCGACGTCCCTCTTCTGATATGGTTCCATACTTCTGTTGCTTGATTTATGTCCGTTACGTATCCCGCCGCTACGTGGGTGCGCCCACATCAATAGTTTCATATCTATGCTTTCTTTTCTGTGCTTGATCGTGCTCGATCTTTCTTGTCGCTCGATGCTCCTCCGCGTTTCGTTTCTACACCCTTCGGCCTTTCATTTATTCTGGGAGCCTAGGAAACGGTGCCCTGTGCTCTTTCACCGTTGTCTCCCCTACTAAGGTGTTCTCACCGTGCCTTAACTGCTTTCTATTCACCTTGCACCAGACCATGTAATTTGTGTGGTGTCCTCATCCTCATTCAAGGCTTCGTGCGTTTTCTCCCGTATCTTGATACGTCCTTCTTGTCAGGGGGACCCTGGTCCTCTTGACTTTATATAGCTTTTTTGACGTCTCCATCTTCTGTTATGATGCCTTGCTTCTTGTTGCTTTATCCTTGTCCGCTACCTATCCCGTGCCTACACTGATACTTTTATATCTGCGCTTTCGCTTCTGTGCGTTAGTATCCCCGATGCCTTGAAATCTTTCTCGCTGCTCGATACTCCTCCGCGTTTTGCCTCTATACCCGTCGGCCTTTCAATCATTTTGCTAGCCTAAGAAACGATGCCATATGCTCTTTAACATTATCTCACCTAAATGTCTTCTCACCTTAGGCCAACTACTTTCTGTTCACGTTGCGCCAGACCGTGGTACTCCGCCCAGTTTAAAACCTGCGTGGACTGCCGGCGGGGAGCATCTCTACGCGGGTTTAGGGCGAGACAGCTCGCTGCTACTGTCGGGAACCATACCGTTTCTACCGAACAGCCTCCGTCTCCGAAACCCCTCGCCCTACCAGCCTTTTCCACTTTATTTTTTGCTTGCTCGAGGTGTGGGGGGCCCTGCCATTCATCCTATGATACGACGACCTGTTATCGCTGCCGTCACGCTGCTTTTTCCACAGGGCCGGGAACGGTAAGAGCTTTGCTACCTGCAAATCCTCTCTTGGAGCCGCGCGTCCAGCCGCCACGGATCTCACGACTATCGCCGACCGGCGCCCAAGGAACGTCCAATCCGCCGCCTTTGCGCCCTACGTTTAAAAGGAAAAGAACCCTATCCCACGGTACATTCCAGCGGAATTTAGACAGAGCACTTTCTTTCCTACGTGATGAGCTAGAGGCTCGGGCTGTCGCCTCTGATGCATTTCCGCCGGAGATTTCCTCCTCACACATACGAGCATCCGAGTGCCGACTACTGGGCTATTGTGAACCCAACCAGTACAAGCTCTTTGAAATACATTCCGGAAAGACAGTCTTCTCCCGCGATGTCGAGTTCGATGAGCGGACCCCTGTGGCGCCACTCATCGAGGGGGAAACAGGCAACGACCTCCCGGACAACGCTCCTCCATCGCCTGTCTTTTCATCAGTGCCAAGTTCAGCCAGCGGGCTGCCCACACCTCCTGTATCGCCATTCCCTCCGTCGAATGAGCGAGAGAAAGCGCTTGAGGAGACACCACCAGCAATCAATCCAAGTAACAAAGAAACCGACTTGTCGCCGAATCTTGGGTATTCAGTTTATGGCCGCAGACGAAGACCATCACGGCGTCTCCTGGAATCGCTGGGGAAGGTGTACTCGGCAGGCGCATTGAATACTGCACCGGCCAGACAAGCCGACCCGGCAACCTTCCGCGAAGCTGTGTCAGGCCCAGACCAGCTAATCTGGTGGGCCGCCATCCAGAAAGAATATGCGTCGCTTCTCGAACACGGAACATGGGAAAAGGTTCGGCGGGAGGACATCCCCGCTGGGGATCATGTGATTGGGTGCAAATGGGTCTTCAAGACCAAAACCAACGGAACGCGCAAAGCGCGACTGGTCATCAAAGGCTACCGGCAGAAACATGGCATCGATTATCACGAAACGTTTGCGGCTGTGTCGCGCATGGACTCGGTCCGCTGCATCGTCGCCAGCGCCGTGTTGCGCGGATGGAAACTCCACCAATTCGATGCGGTTACCGCATTTCTCCATGGAGACGTCGATTCGTCTATCTATATGGAGTTGCCCGAAGGCTTTGAAGAACCAGGGTACGTGTGTCGGCTGCGCCGTTCACTGTATGGGCTGAAGCAGGCCCCGCGGATTTGGTACCAATGCGTCCACCGCGTCCTGGCTTCTCAGGGCTTCACTATGGCCCAATCGGACAACTGTGTTTTCTGGAAAGCGGACTGCGTCGTTTGCGTTTATGTCGATGACTTTCTAGTTGCTGCGGCAAATACGCACGAAATTGAACAAGTACAACGAGCCTTACAAACCGAGTTCCGATTGAACGATCTGGGCATCCCTCGTTCGTTCCTCGGGATCGAGTTTGACTATCACGTTGATGGGTCCGTGTCTATTCACCAACATCAGTACATCCAGAAGGTGCTCTCCGACTTTGGCATGGAGAGTTGTCAGCCGAAGTCTACGCCGATGAATCCTAAGCAAAGCCTGAATACTCGCCCAGAGGAGGAACCTCCGGATGAAGAAGCAAAAGCTCGCTATGCAACTGCTATCGGCTCGCTCATGTATTTGATGGTTGGCACGCGACCGGATATTGCGTTTGCGCTCGGAATGTTGAGTCGCTTCACATCCCGGCCGCAATCGCATCACCAGGCCGCACTTCAGCGACTGCTTCGCTACATCAAAGCCACGCAATCTCACCGTATCACCTACCGAAATGGTCAATTGATCGGATACACTGACGCCGACTTCGGTGGCTCCGTCGTCACGGATGGAGCATACTCCACGTCTGGCTACGTGTTCCAACTGGCGGGAGCGCCGGTTTCCTGGTCGTCCAAACGTCAGGGGGAAGTGGCCACGTCCACGACTCATGCCGAATACATTGGCCAATACAATGCCATTTTACATCTACAGTGGCTCCGCACCTTTCTAGGAGAAACAAATCTGTATCGGTCTCCGGTCACTAATATCATGGCTGACAATCAATCCGCTATTGCGCTCTCCCGCAATCCCGAATTTCACAAACGGACCAAACACTTCAATGTCAAGTTCCATTATCAGCGGTCGGTGCTGAATGCAGGAGAAATTGACCTGCAGTATGTTCCCACTGAGGAGCAGGCCGCGGATGGTCTCACCAAGCCATTAGGGCCAACGTCCTTTGCCAAGTTCTGTAGTCTTTTGGAAATCGACGTATCCAAAACCTAAGGCAACAAGCATGACAGCGCAGGTGCTCTTTCCACTTTCTTTTCCCACGAAGGTTTTTTGAGTGGTTTTACCGAGGCCTGACTGCTCTGCTCAATTCCAGTATCGCCCTGCCAGCAGGACGATTCTGAGGGGGAATGTTGTGATATAAGGCTGGTGCAGATCAGGAACCAAGCCGTCCCATCGGAATTAATGCCGAAATATCTATATACAGAATCAAGTTGATTTCCAATCAACTTGTTCTTCTCGTTGTATATATAGCCTCATATTTCCCTCTAGATGACAATAACAATCAATCTTCCTTTGATTAACAACAGAAGTGTCTGAATTAACTTGACTGCATGGCTGAGGCCAAAGGCTACTGTTGTCTATTGACCAGCCACCAGTACGGGAAGGCGACTGGTCGACAAATCTGAAGCTGAAGGGCGTATGCTCTTGAATTCTATGCGCTGCGCAAATTGATGATCGCTGGATACTAGATGTAATGGTATGCAGTGGTAGTACGGGACCGCAGTAATGTGGGCGTCTTGCCCGTCGCCTATGGGGGGCACCCCCGGCAATTGGAAATTGCCTCGTCGACCCCCATAAAGGGGGTCTCTGGGGGACCCCACCCCCCGGCTCGAGGGCGCTTGGAAAATGAATCAAATATGGGCATGGGCGATGGATCTCCTCCTAATGGGCGAGGTCGATTTTTCTGGAGAAGTGATGTAATACCAACTCATCAGCAGTTGTGCACACGTGGCGCAGGCATCCCCGGCCCGTCGTGAAAAGAGCGTGTATTGCGACAGTTAGACGAAATATCGCATTCCAGAAGGCCGACTTCAGATATCCAGGCGTCAAAAGCGGTGGTCGGTAGGAGAAGAATTGCGGGGCAACGCGTCAACGCGTGATGCATATTTACCACCCGCAACCTCGGCTAGTTGTTAGCACCACCGTAAAGCCACGAAGAGGCCTTAGCAGTCCTACGAAGTCCAGCGAACATTTGGGCTGATCAAGATATTCCGCATCTGGACTAGTGTTTGACATCCTCTGCCTTTCACTTGCCCTCGCCGTGTTAGCGCCTTCTATGAAGAATTGAATGTGCGGCGGGGACATACCACGAGCACTTTTCAACTGAATTGACAGCTTACTGAATTGATTCTTCTCCAAGGAGTAAGCACACGGTGAGTTGATTCCAGCTCGGAAAGTCGACTTGCATAAGCCGATTTTCGCCAAAGGACAATCTCCAAAGTCACGGCATACTCCGGTCGCACAGCCTCATTTGACGGATTGGTAGCATCACGCCATACAGAGTGGATCACAGGGGTATGAGACCCATGGAGTCCGTTCCTAGTAGGTTTATTGTGTTGCTCAACCTTTTTCGAATGGCTGAGTCGCTTGGAGAAAGGATTGGGCCGATAGGATAGGGCTGCTGGCCTGACTTGCTCGCCAGA